ACTTTTTTGCGCAGTTGAACGCGACTATAGGAAGCCATATGTCCATTCATCTGTGTCATAACTGTATTTATGCTCATTATGTTGCGATTTACGAGCCCGGTCGATCATTCTAGAAGCGTGTCAAGATCGCGATCAAATTTCCTCTTGCGGAGAGTGTTTGCTATCGCGATATCTCTTCGCACCGTATATCTTTTATCTATTCTTTTATCTGTTATGTACATTGTTACAGTATTTATACAACAAAGTAAGAGTAAAGTGGAACACACCTATGTTCTCGTAATGCGAGAACGAAGTTTCAATTGTTATTCAAAGTTGGCGGAAGTATGTCTGACTTGATGATTATAATCGATCTCTTGAAATAATACGTTTGTATAATTTGTCATGCACTTTTTGCGAAACTTTACTACATGATAATCCATTTACGTTGTTGATCTCGTTTCATTTCCGCTTTCGATCGAAAATAATGAATATTCATACATTCTTTTTCAATCGTTTAATTGAAAATAATATTTAAAAATTTTTTTCCAAAAGATGAGATGTAAAAATGAAATGTGAAATTAATTTTCAAAGTCGGAACTCTGCAAACGTCGCGGAAGACTGAAATTTCCCCATTTCGTCGCAATAATGAAAGTAATTTCCGCCACTTTCTCGAAGTTGCCGGAAGTAAGAAGAAGAATAATATCGAACGACTAAGCTGTTCGCGTACGGGACGTCGATACCGTGTTCGGCTGTAGTGGCGATGCGCAACTGGTTTTATCGAGCGGGGGCCGTCTCTTCCGTGCAAGGTCTCCGGATCACTGACTTCATTAGCGCCATGCGTCGTTCTAGCCGCGAGCTGCTGCGAATTGCCACGTATGCCAGTTAGCACAAAGGTTTGCTGCACACGCTTCCAGAATCTCTTCTTTTTACCGTGTCCCAGTTACGTGAGAAACGAAATCCGGCACGTGTAATCTTTCGACGACTTTTCGGTATCTTGATCGGAACGACGCTCTTCGATGTTGCACGATACGGAGCTTCGCTCATATTCCGAAATAGCATCTAATTTAGAAACAATTTTGTACACACGTATTTTTTAGAGTATCTTTACGTGATATTAATCTTGTATTTGTTGTATCATGCGGGATGTCAACACAGAGTCAAGAGTCACATTTTTCTTGACATAAATGTTAATTCACAACACGCGTACAACAGCATCGCGACGTTCCTCGTAATCCACGGTGCGCGTAAAGTAAAAAGGTTCGTGCAAACAGGAAGTGTTATAACGGATCGAACGCAAACGTGGCGCCGTTCTTCGCTTTGTGTATAGTCGTGCAAATCGGCGGGAACGAGTCGCGACTAAAACAATTTGCATGCAAATGCGGTGTTATCGTATCACTATTCATACGGCGAATCGCGCCGAGTTTGCGGCATTTCGATGCTCCCTCGCGATGTTCAATTATCGAAATCTCTCTTTCACGCATCCGATTTCCCGGCGAATGTCGGAAGGTCGCGCGATGAAACCCGCGCAATGTTGTTTTCCCAAGATTGTGATAACTTTCTCGCTACAACATCGCTGGTGTAAGAAAATTAATGACAAGCTTGCGAGGATTCGATACGATGAGTCTGTTCCACTTTCTTGAAAACTTGAGAAATTTTATCTCAAAGTCGAGAGAAATTAGTACGGATTAATTTTTCTCACGTTTCTTAAAGGAGTTTAGCAGCTGTTACAGCGACTTGTTCGATTCTTCGACGGAAGCAGATTTTTTTCTCAGCAGAAATATCCCATTCATTTTAAACAGTTCTGTTAGAGTCAGTCGTCGTTTTATTAAATAAGTCACGGACATCCGTCGCTCTGATAATTTTGGTAATTTTGCGCGTGATCACGCGACGCAAAATTGTTTCTAAATGCATGAAAATTCTCTTAAACGCACAATTCTCTGAATTACGTTTTTATTACTTGCAATGTGGTTTCTAAATGCCTATATAAATCTGATCTTTGTATCTGCCTTTTTTGCATAATAAAAAAATAAAACTAAAGAGATGTGACTCTGAATAATGACATCGAACCTGTTGCTTATCATGTAAAAAACAACTATTCTATTGTGCCCATTTATTTATCAGTTTGTGCAAAACTGCAGAGACATAAAGATACGATAGAAAATCTTTTTTTTCAGAAGCATAAAACATTTGATTAATGTTTGCGTTAGAAATATATTTCCGGGTGGGTTTTCGCAAAAAAACACACTCAATAATCACGGGAGTCGTAAAGCATCTTGTTTGCATTTTTTATCTTTACGCGGAAGGCAAACAGACGCTATTATCGCGAGATCGCGATTAACAGTTTCTCGAAACAATACGTAACATCTTCACGAGTGACTTGCGCACAAAGCCGTCGCACGAATACAGCGGAATTGTCGATAAAGACTGTGAATGCACTTTATTATGCGGCGGACGAAAATAGTGACAAAGACTTACTGTATCGCGCGGTATGAGTAACGACGATAACAAGTGGCACGGACGTTCTCGAAGATTTTTCCATGAGTCACCGGCCTTCTTTCGCTTCGCTCTTTAGCGCAGTGTCGCGTTTCTTCGCCAGCGCTTTGTGTCGGCGAGGAAAAAGGAACAAATCGCTGATATTGAAATATGAATCGCGGTAATTTACCGTGTTTAATATCCTTACTGTGGCGTTCTTTTCCGCGCGTTAGTCTCGCGTAATTAAAGCAATTGATCTTTCTCCAATTTCAACTCTACATACATGAATTATCATACGGATATTACCATGTTTATTCAATAATTTAATCATTATTAATATAAACGCGCTTGATAATGTAACGACATTTGTTTACGTACATATTTTCACGACTCGCAAGCGGATATTTTTGGGGTAAGAAAATATTTTGTTAGGAATACGTTACAGATAAAAACTACATGTTTACGAAGTAACGTATTCACAAATAGTTAGAACCACATGTTTATTAGACAGTTCGTTTGCCAGACAAGTTTGTAGTTAGGTGGAAACCGATTGTTTGTATTTATATGTAATATTGTGAAGGCGTGTTTCTTATCTTATAAGGCTTCTACATTCTCTTTCACTCCAGTTGTGTAACGTGGAATACTTGAAGAAATTATGCTTCTCACTTTCCTTCTTTCGTCATTAATTTCTTAACAACGCCTTGAGAATAATTAGGAAACGCCTGTACTTTAGCTACATTGTTTTTCAACTTTTATTCGTCATTACGTCGGTAATTTACTTTCTTTCACGTCGTCGAACTCGCCTACTTAATTAAACATTATGTTGAAGAAATAAAATTTTTAAATCAGAAACGAAAATCAAAACGTTAAATCGTTATAACGATAAATAGAAAAAAATCCTACCGTTATCGAAGGTCGCGTACCGTTTCGTTGACAATGAAACTCGTAAAACTTGTAACAGCGATCGCGCGATCTTGTAAGTCGATCAACACGTATCCCGCTTTTACTCTTCTCATATCGCTCGCAAACCGGTTGTTACATTCGCAGTGAACGGATTCGTGCAGTTTGCGTGTTAATGCGACGCCAAGAGATAGTCTCGAGCATTAGCAATGTTCGTTGTTATCTTAATTATTTAACTATATAATAGTAAAATGATTAAAGATAAGAGTGCATTTTCCAAAGAGTGCATTATTTGCAGAACAATTACGTCGTTTGTTATCGCGATATTTTTCGGCGATTCGATTCTTTGTTTCATAACTCATATCATTTTCAAAATATCAAATTTCTCTTTTTCAACTCTCATGGCGATGTTAACGCTACATTCGTTAATTAAACTTTACAGAAATTTGAGAATTTATCGTTTGCATATTTTTTTTCACATTTTTCCGCGTTAAGCCGATTTTGAACACACAAGTTCATAAAAATTGAATTTGTATTATATTTCAATTTTTTGCGCATTATAAAATACTGTCTGGTGTAAAGTCGATACAGTGTGAAATGCTGTTAGCCTGCGCAGCGCATAATTCGCAGTCGTTTTACACACTGTATAGCTGCGATGCTCATTCCGTTGAGGCATATATCCGTAACGTGGAATGCAACGGATGTAACGGATGCGAAATTCGCGACACGAAGTTGTTGTAATCACGTTATTAATTAAAGTATGCTACAGCGATGGAACGCGCCTGTAATGCGGCACATTTCGTGCCGCTTGTTTATAGGACGTCCTAAAATGATTGGAAATCACATTTCAGATATTTTCAATAAATACAGATCAAATTAAAAGTAGCGTTTAATTATAATAAAATTGTTTTTATCAAAAATTGAACTGGCGAATTAAGTTTGAAGAGGAATTTGTAAAAATACAATAAAAAGAATAGCGTCATTAATTAATTGCGATTTACGCCATCGTCGACATTTTGTTGACGTCATTTTTGCAGGCACTCGAAATAATGAATGATTAATTATCCGACAAAATTTTTTTTTATAAATTGATGATAAAAGATACATTTACTGATTTATTTATTACATTTTTGTCACTGTTGACACGTGATTTTTTTCCTTGCATTACAAGATTGTATTTTTCAGCTTCCAAAAATATCGTTTTCATCCTTGCGAAACACTCGAAGTGTGAGAAAGCAATGATTACTTAATCAAACTGGATTGTTCTCATGGCTGTTTACTGTCACTCTGACGTAACTTCAACTTTATTGAGCATCAGTGACCGCAAAAAAAAAATATTAAATAGAGATACGAATGCGAAGCGATGTCGCGACGTGTCATTGAATAATCTGACATTGAAGGCCAATCGCGACGTGCACCATTGTCAGTCGTAAATGTCGTCGCAGTGTTTTAACGCGTCACGTGGGAATTTATATCCATACCTTCACGCGCGTTGCGTATATATTTCGCGTGTAACTGCGAAAAAACGCCAATGATAACGCAAATATTTTTCTTACGTTTTTTTGACCGTGGCGAGCTTGTTTTACTTGCTACCGCAAGTTTATGTGCTACAGTTTATTTATATTTCCGTACGTTAATGTTAACGCCGGCTGCTGTGCACGGTCAACGTCCGTCCGGCGGTGTGCTGCATTCGAGACTGCAATCGCGAGCACGTTTCTACTCCGACCGCGGCTGATTGTTGCGAGTAAACGCGTGAAAGGATTCAAAAAGTAGCGGGACAAAGCTTCTCAACCATTGTTCAGCGTAACCGTTAATCAAATGGGAAGCAACGTGTCCTGCATTCCGTCTCATCGCGATTGAATTGAAATTTTAAAAAGGGAAAGTATTTTCCCGCGAGGAAAGTAATTATATCGTTCAGAGAAACGACGGCGTACTCGGAAATTTCGTGAAATATAAGAGAGACGTTTCCGTTACATCCACTGCAATTGAGATAGCGAGAATAATTAGAATCAGCGCGTCGGCATTCGCGAAGGCGAACGAGTGATGTAAAACATATGTATCGAGTTCAGCAATGCATTCGCGCATATCGAATGAACGTGAACTTGCATTAACTATTAATTTAGTTATAATAGCAAGTAATAAATAATACTGAAAATTATTAATTAGAATTCAGGAGTTTCCATTAATATTATTTATTCTGCTATTAATTTGGTAAAAATTGACTTAATTATTAGCCATTAGGAAATGGGCAAGCAATTGCAAATATCCGATTGAAGAGACTTCCTATTTCTCTGGGAATCTCTGATCTAGGAAAGTGTGATTACGAGAGGCTTCAAGAACACGCCATACATGGTCTCGTCTATGAGCTGCCGCGTTGCGGTTGTAAACTAGCGCGATGCGCGGTTAATGCACTCTGACAGTCGTGTCTTCTTTTAGCATTGAAAATTGAGTTGTTTAGAATTTTATTTACTTAAGATAAAAAATTATTTCACAGATAATTGGCTGCGAAAATAATAGAAAGTTAATTATGTATATTAATAATAAATAAATAATTAAATATACCAATTAGGTTAATTATGCAAAAACGACGTGCTAGATAAATATTTTTGCAGAATAAAAATTCCTGATTCATCGGAGTTTATAATCGGATGAACTCTCTCTATCGTTAAATAATTTCAGGGACGCACCGCGCATCGTCAACAAGTCGCGTCGCGAACTTGTTGCGTTTCGCAGCTACTATGCTTACGTTTAATCGCTGATAAAAAACCGAAGTCGAGAACGCGAGGAGGAATTCTCGTGTACGTCGTAGTATCGACTAACCAATCGCCGATCGCGGCAAGCTCACGCCATGTGCTACGTCTGCGCTGTCCGGGAACCCATTCTCCTTTTGGACGCTGAGCCAGCATTTTCGATTCATTGATGCTCCATCAGCGTGACAACAGAATCCGCCTTTCCTCGACGCGCGACAAAAGACTTGGCACTAACGACGCAATTAGCGCGAGAAACGTATTGTTGCAGGCAAATTAAATTTGGACTCGGATCAATCGGGCGAAAACTCACTCGGGATTATTTCTATGGGTGAAAGAGACACTGAGTAAATTTCAATCAGCACACCAATATTTATTTTTACGTTAGAATATTGCAATTGATTCAGAAAAATAAGTAAAAAATAATGGAATACAAATCTTCCTTTTTTCAAGTTTTTTTAAAAGATTTGCGGCTTTGGATGATTGTAATTAGAGAAGTATTTTCTCATCGAACTAAAGAGGAGAATAGGAAAAAATAGGATGACGATAAGTAGAAAGACTAACACAGTCTTAACTTTCGTGTAACTCTCGTGTGCTTTAATTCGGTACATCTGGCTCTTTCGCATCCGTATTTTTCTTCCTTTCCTTGGAAGAAACTCGTTTGTGGGAAAACCGTAGTATTTTATCATAAAGTAGAAAAGTAGCATAGCGCGAAGAATTGATTATTCATAAAAATGGTACACTAATTAATAAAAAAAGGATGTTAACATTGGCAAATTAGAAGCAAATAAAAAATAAATATTAGCAAAGTAGGAATAAACGAATGCAATTCAGATCTGATCAAAGTAGATTACAAAATTGCTTGGACTTAAATGGGTCCATGTCACATCGTATCTTCATCGTCGCCGACTTCCTGACGACGTGCAATCGGCACGTGTGACCCCGGCAGATCCGAGGAAGGTGATGAAAAGAAAACGCAGCTGCAAAAGTTATTTATAACGGCGCTCGAGGCGGTCTTTCCACCGACGTCTCGACGCTCATAATCGAAAGATGTGATTGCGCGCGTGGATTAAAGAAACGAGATGCAAAAAAAAAACGTATAAAAGGCACAAAAAGTCACTGCACGCGAGTGTGTGCAATATCGATCGTCTTTTCGCGCGGTTGCATTGCAATCGCGTGTGCAGTTATGCATTGTCGTGCGAAACGTTGGTCACCGTCCTCTTCCGCGCGCCGGTGAAGAATCACGATAAATGGATTAAGTGAACGATAATGTTCGCTATATTTCATCCCCAAGCAGGCGATAACGCGATTAGTGCTAATGACGCAGGCAAAAAAAAAATCGTTAATTACGCGGAGATGCATGTTGGAAAGAAACATCGCCGCTTTCGCGACTCCATTGTGATTGTTAGATTGAGTGCTTCTCCGCTTATCGATTCCTTCCGATTACGCAGCTCCGATAAACGATTTACGACGGCGACATTTCCGATTTACGACATTTCCGCGGTATTCACTGCGCGATACGGCAAACGGAAGGAATGTCGCGATGTGTCCTTCGATCGTAACTCCTCCGCACGCTCATTATCATCTCTCGACTGCTGATAATCCAGCGAGTGTGGTTCTGGCAGCGTTACGTTATGGCAGCGCGCGCTATGCGTGTGAGATAACCAAGAGCGTTTGCACGCGCAATCTTCGCATTGATTGATAGTCTCGTGAATCATCCGCGGGATTAACCATATCTTAGCAATAACGAAGTGCTGTCTACAACCGTAAACACTCTACCGTTTAGATATCGGACGAAAATAACACGCAAAACGCATACCTTCAATAAAATCAGGAAAGATTGATATTAAATTGATATTAAATTGATATTAAATTGATATATTTGATTGTATGAGAATTGATGAAATACAAATCCAATTTCTCTCCGAAATAATATTTGAAATACAACATTGTAGTTTTTATAAAAGGAAATATTTTTTATAGTTTTTACAGTAAAATAAAAAAAAATAAATTTTTGATCGACTCTGAACAGTTTTTGTTAAATTAATACCTATTAATATTAAACTGACGTTTGAGGTCCTTCAATTACGAAAATGAACACGAATATGAATATTTATTGCTGATTACGGAGCGTCCTTAATGCGTGAATATGCAATTCAGAGTCCTTGATCGATAAGTAGCGCAAAATGCATATTCTATTGTCTAAATATAGAGACGGCTAGTTTTATCATTGTTAAGAAGATTGGACTTATTTGTTAGATAGAATAGCCGGACATTTGTCTTCTATATAATGAGTTATATCACGACCTATAGTGTCTGTGATCGCTCGTCGTTAACCTCGACGGAAGATGATAATAATACAAAGCTATACTTTGTAGCCGCTACAACGCGTAGATTTAATTAATCGGACTTTTGTTTCTTGTTATTCAATTCTTATTATCTGTTTTCCTTAAACAGTGAACGTAACATTACTCGATTGCGGTAACACGAAGAAATGAAATCACCCACTTTTACGCGCAGTGGAAAATGGGAGAAGATTCATGCCGCTTGTGCATTACATGCGCAGCTGCTATTTTTAATCGTAGCCTCCATATCCACGAATCGCAACGCAGGGAGTTACGTGTGTTTGTTCGCGCGTTCCTGTACATTGTCATATCGGGGGTATCGCGAATCGATGACCCAGTTCGAAAGGGGACCGAGCGAAATTCTCTTATCTCGAGAGTGGCGCATTAAAAATTTAAATTTTCCGATTGAAAGTTCGCGGAGCGCCAGTTCTCGCGCCAGTTTCTTCTCTTTCATCGATCCCGGCAGAAATATAATCGTCGACACAATTGTTTACAAACCGGCGGCGTGTGCGACGTTCATCCGCACGTCGCGGATATAATATAACTGCGCACATCGGATTCGGAATACACCCGTCGGCGCGTACGTCGACTGGCGGCACGCCAAAGGTCACTCTTGAGCATTCACTCTTCCACGCGACGCGGCTGTGTCATTCATAGGGGATGCCTCGCCGTCGACTGTCACCTCCTCAATCTTCTCCGCCCCCCCTCGACTTCTCCCAGCTGATATCTCGGCGTTGATTAATTCGGTCGTTTTTTCGTCGCGCTGCGCGATAATCGCGTAACGGCGCAGTCGTTTCTCGGCCTCGAACTGTTCTGGAAACTAATAAAGCTTTCATTTGCTTCGCAGGAGGGCGAGTTTCTAGACAAGAACACGGATTGGATCTACGAATGGAGCTCTCGACCGGACCAGGCGCCGCCAAAGTACGATAATCGAGTTTCTTGATTTCACTAAGAATTACTTGAGATACTTTTATTATTATCGCAATCGATCGTTACTGAATTTATCAGATTACTGTGAAAAACGGATAATATTTTTGGTTGAAACATTGCACTAAATAAACTGTACAGAAGTAATTCAAAGTGTTCTTATCATGTACACTCTGCGTGTTTGGTAGCTTTGATGGTACTATCGTGTTGCAGAGATTGGAAATTCAAACATCCTCTGGGTAGCAAGAGGAAAACGTACAGCATTCGCACGGCGAAGGTCGGCAAGAACGGATTGTTTTCCAAAGAGGTCATTTACACGCTATTCTTCACGAATCTTTTGTCTCTGCTCATTGGGACCGGTCTGGGGTAAGATTACTTGTAATACTCGAGACACAATGCCGACATAATTGTCGTGCTACTTTTTCGTCTCTTAACCGTTTGTTAGTTAATTTCTATGCATTTGTGTATATATTTTGTATTCACGAAATAATATTAATTACTTACGAGGGAATATTAATTTAATCTCTCATTTGTTGTGATATTATCAATAAAATCACATTAATCCTGATTAGTAGTTATTATACACAATAATCTATTGGTCTCGAATGTGAATTTTGTTCCTTTTGATTGCAGTGTTCTGCTCACCAGGCGAGGTTTCATGATGTCTCGCGTCGCCATTGAGTGAAGGGGACGGTTTCTGGGAATGTCAGCATTAAGATTGTCACGGTTGAATTTGTTTTGCGCGGAGAGGAGAGGACTAAATGCAAGAGAAAGACTGAACAAGCCGGTGGGCGAATCGAAGCCTAAAAAAAAAAAAAAAAAAAAAAAAAGAAGAAAAAAAGAAAAAAAAGAAACAGATACACGCAGCACATAATTCGATTGTCCCAATTTATAATATTAGCACTTTGTATTATATATTAGCACTTTTACTCCCCCCCAATCCTTTTACTGTACGATGTACTTCTCAGACGTCGCGTATGCCAAGAAAAATAATACGTATTGTACGCTCTTAGAAAAGGAAAGAAAAGCTGAGCAAAAAAAGCGAAGAAAAGGATTTATCGTATATAGTCTAGTGTTGTTGGAAGGAACAGGCAAATGAACGAAACATGTCCATTTTATACCGTTTCTAATGCGTTTCTATCTGCGATAGTTTGTAGACATAGCTTGAATAGTATTTATCAGAAACTAATTATTGTTAGAACGGAAAGAAAGAAGCGAAACTGAGAGCGCGAGAGGGAGGGAGAGAAAGTACCGAGCGAGTGCGCGAGAGAAAGAGAGAGCGAGTGCTTGTTGCGCGGACGCGTGTGCGAGGTGGGTGGGTCAGGATTTGACGGATGGAAAGGATCGGGATTTATCGACAACAACAATCTCGAAGACGCTGGACGAAATTGTTTACGCGAGTTACGGAATTCTTGTTGCACCGCCGAACGTCAGCGAGTTCTGACGTTGAGATTTGTTAGGAAGGTTGAGAGAAATGTATGTCTAAATCATACCCGTGCAATTAATCCGAAGTGAAACAGCATCGGGGATATAATAAATAAGACGTCGACCGGTGATTCTTCTCTGAATTATCGACGATTGCGATCGTTATCTCGATGATGATTGAGGGAGTAACGAAAGTAGTTCCTACGGAGGAAATAACGACGCTGTCGTCCACCGTCTCGATGCCGATCGTATATGGCAGCCGGAAGGAGGGACCACGAGAGCGAGCAAGCAAACTTGTGTGAACAGCGAATTAGTTTCGGAACGACATTTCTTTATTTGTACGTCTCAATCCGCGATTTTGTAATTTCCTTGTAATAAACTTGCACAGAAGTTACACACGGACACACACACACACACACACACATACACAGGATGTGTTTCGACGTCTACGGTTTTTATTTCAAATGGTCACCGCCTGGCTACGAGACGATTATCAATTGTGGTTTTGGTATGCGAGATATTGAAGAAGTAAGTGATCCGACTTATCTTTGCAAAAATCTATCTTAGCGATTGTAAAAGTAAACTAAAACTTCTTTTCCACGGATAACAAATATTTAAAAGCTAAAAAGATAAGATAAATCGCTATTTTACAATGAATTCTTCGGCTCGAAGCTGAGGAATTTTTTGCCGATCGGTATGATATAATATTTGACTTTTGACGTTGCACTGCGATATATGAGACAAGCTAAATAGATTAACTATATTAAAGAAATAAAATAATTGTATCTTGTCTAATGTACTTTTGGAAAAGCGTGTGGAAATGTTTTGTGAATGTGTGGTGTATTTGCTACTTTTTTCAACGACAGAAATTTGATCCTCGTGCGACGATATGATGCTCTCGAGTTTACGATTTTGTACTTTAGACAGAGAAAAGTGGATGGGGCGATAGAAATCACGAATCAGTTTGCATCGAAAATGTGCACAAGCGAATTCACGATACAATCTTCTGAGTTTCCATTAGAGATTAGAGTATCGATTCAATGTAACAGACTAAAAAATGCATCACACTTGTTAGTGATTTAGATCAATCACATCCAAACGTACTAGATGCATTACTAGATGCAAATTGTGCAAGTTTTCTTTCCTTGCAGCAGCAAAATCAGCAGCGCAATCCCCGATTTTACGTGAATTGGTAGAGTTTTTTTTTCTGGTACTCTTAGCTAAGTCGCGTTATTTAATTTACGATACTGATATTCAACGTATTTTTCATAAGCAATTATTTTGTAATACTGTATGTATATCATGCGCATAATAATAATCATATCGTATGTAGTAGTGGCGTTGGTGACTTTTTAGTGTTATCGAGCACTTGATTCTCTTTTCGATATTTTTTCGTCGTTTCTCTTTGCTAAAATTAAAGTTCTAATTATGAATGATTTATACAGAAGCGCTATGAAATAAAGGGTTTTGTAAATTCATACTTAAAATGATGTATTTAATTTATACACAAATATTTCATATGTGAAACTTTTAATTTCTTTTAAATTCTTTTTTCGTACATAACAATCTCGTTTGACTTTACACGTCAAAAGTTGATTTTTAAATAACCAAAATTGAATAGTAGACAATTTCAGCGTAGTAAATATAGTGCACAAATTAAAAAATAAAATTAACCTTTGTTTGTCACAGTTACCCGAGATATTAAAATAATGTTGGGAATGAAAGATGTATCCAGCAAGCTTTTCTACGTCGGACGATGAACCGATTAAGAAACACGAGAAAAATGTAAAGGTTTTCGTGCGGATTTTACCACTCGTAAAACCGTGCGAATCTTGCGCGAAGATCAGCGCGGACGGCAAGGTGAGATTTATGTAAATCTCTTTATCGTCGAATCAAGATATTCCGAGTTTTTTTATTATCGATTAAGATGACTCGAGCATTTAGATATCTATTTTTAACCGAGGAAAAACTCGAACTTTGTTAGTGCTGCAAAGTTTATATGCATGTATGATTTCTTTAAATTGATAAAAGTTTTATATTTTATTACTGAAATACTGGATAATTTGTTTAATAATGTTTTAATACATTTTGTCAATTAATGCGCTGTGATGTTTAATCTATTTAGACGATATACGTAAGATGTTTGCAAGATATGCGACAACATAAACTGTCGACAGGCTCGTATCCGATGTACTGGACTTTCCTGACCGATGGAATCTTCCACGAGGCATCTCAAGATAAGGTGTATCGCGCTACCACGAGAGATCTTGTAAAAAAGTGCTTGACATTGAAAGTAGTTGATATGTAAAATCGGCAAAACAACAATATTCCGAACTGCGTCAGCGCAATATTTAATTATTGAGATACTATCGTTTAATCGGGCGGTAGCAATGTAAACCAGTTTATTTTAGCATTTCTAAATTTGTGAAATCGTTAAATTAAATATCTTAAAAGAATAAGGTATATTTATCTGTAAAAATCTATAAAGAATCTTTACGATGATGATATATTAATAATATCAGAGAGAAATCTGAGAATATCACGCTATTTTACTTTGTTTCAAATCAATTTTGTACAAAATATCTGGCAAATACCGCTGACAATGTAAGGAACTTGCGGTGCGATATTTATAAAAAGAAGTTTATAATATTCACAATATGCAAATTATTTTAGAGTCCTAGATGGCATAAATTGCGTGCTGATCGTCTGCGGACAAACCGGGTCCGGAAAGAGTTTCACAATCGGTGGTTATAAAAATAATTGGGAAGTACGCTTTCAGAATGAATTAATTTAATCTCAATAATTAATAATTGAAATGTTAGAACACTAAAAAATTATTTTTGGAAAAAGAACATTCTTACTTAAAATAATACGATATAAAATTACTTAAAATAATACGATATAAAATTAAGTGAAATTGAGAATTGAATTTTTTAAAGAAATTTTATGATTTTAACGTTGCTTTAACTGATATTTTAATTATAAAATTTAAGTCTTTGTTTAATTGATTTTACTTATTCTCAGCATAGAGGGTTAATTCCGCGACTTTTATCTGATATGTTTACGGAGAAAATAAACCGAAGGAAAATTTGTGATATACGCTATCGTTTGAGTTTTCTTCAGCTGAGAGGTAAAAACGTAACCGATCTTCTTACGACGCAAAAACGAAAAATCGTTAACATTAGCGAGCACGATGTCTTTAAGGTATGCTGCTTGTATCGTCAATTATCAGCTCTCCAAATTGATCTTTTGTTTATTTGTATTTCTATTAAACTTAAAAATATATAACTATTGATTTTACATTGCGACAAAGTAGCATAAAAATATTTAAGCGATGCTTTATAATTTTCTGAAACTCTTTACATTCATCTAATGAGTCTTTTGTTGTATTCTTGTATGCAGCATACAAGAAATGTATACAATAGATTTGAAAAACATGATACGATAAAAAACTGCACAATGACACGGTGAAAAATCGGAACAGTTATAATTTCAGCATGTAACTATAGTGGATGTAGACAACGAGGAGGAGACCCTGAAGAAAATACTCGAGGCAGAAGCAAGGAGAGCGATTGTCAAAGGAACAATATATCCGGTGTCACATCTGGGTGCAGCTATAATCACTCTCCACGTATCAAATGCAAGTCTAATAAAATCACAGGCCACCGTAGCGACGGCAAGAGTAATTTGACATGTTTGGCTTCATTAAAAAAGAAATGAATTAAAAAAAATTTGTAATGTTCTTATGAGATTTTTAAAGAAATCTCTGAGACGTTTACATTTTGAAGAAAAAAATTAATGGATTTATTACAAATTTATGAATCGATATTAGATACATGTCGTAGAGATGGCTGGAACTGGTACAGCGGGGAAATCGAGTTGCGCGAAAACAGCGACCGATTTGGGTACGGCGAATTTGATGAAAATGCAGCTAGAACAGTACTTCATGTATCTTAGAGAACCGAACGCTTCGATGTACAGTGTTGTTCGCTCAAGTAATTTACTGAAGCTACTGAAAGACGCCCTTACCGTTACATCCATCATTCGGTAATCATAAAAAAATAGAAACTTAAACTGAAGTAGAGTAAATAATTAAACTACACTGGTTGTAAGCTGATCTATTGCTTAATTTAGAATATTGCTTAATTAAAACAAAATAAATAATTTTTACATTAATTAAATAAAATTAGATTGTCTTAGATAAAAATATGAATCATCGATATTCAATAAAAATAATTAAAATAAGCTCCTTAATCGTTGATTTAAATCACATTGTAATATGATTTTAATTTTGAATCTTTAATATAAATCGAATATTTCTTTTTTTTAAATTTAATTAATATATTTTATGGCAGAAAGTTAAAAGAAATTTTTCTTGTTAGTTTTATATCTCATGTGCGGATCACAAGGGAGGATCTCGATGTCACTTTGTCGACCATGCGACTGACTGCTAAAATCGCAAAACTGAAACTGATCAAAACGATACGATACGTTCGGCCGCAAGCGGAATTAATTGTGCAACAATTGCGAAAGGAAGTAAATGCTCTAAGGACGGAGCTGGAATTAAATGCTATGTTTTTACATCAAGAAGCGCTGATGAACATCTCGAAATCGCGGGCCGAGCAGATTAGCCGGGATATAATGAAATTTTTGCAGGGTTCCATTTCGGAGTTAACGCTCTTCAACGTTACCCAAGCGCGAGTATTGATGAAAATCACCAAACGATTATACGACAAGTTTGTTCCCTTCGTATTTCGGAATCAAATTTTTTATTTCAATTTGCACACTTGAAATTAAGATTAAAACAGTTCTAATTAAACTGATTAATCTTTCTGTTTAGCGCATTTAATTATTGTTATTAGATCGTTCTTTTCATAAGTAGCGGCGGAAAAATTAATTTGATAATCATAAACGCGATAAAAAAGCGTTTAATTATTCTCTAAACGCTTTACAGATTAATTGCGGAAGGCATTAAAGCGCAGGACTTAAATGAAGTGTATGAAAATGTGGTGGAATCATTGGTGCAAGCAAATGCTACCTAATCGACATTGTTGTTAAAAAAAAATTTCTTTATTGCACTTTATCATCCTGCTAATTATTTTAATCTTACGTCTATGTGTATTAATACAAACAAGATTTTGGTCACTAAATAAAGTTGATAATTATCTATTTGTTCTTATTAAAATTTGTATTAAAATTATATTAAATAATAAATAATTTTTATAACAGAAAATTATTAGATAATATGTAATAATTAAACAAATTGGAATCTGCGATTTAACGAAAATGAAGGATCATTATTTTCCCTACCAAATGCTGTTTATTATGATTTTCCAGCAGATAAACACAACTGTCTCTCTCTCTCTCTCTCTCTCTCTCTCTCTCTCTCTCTCTCTCTCTCTCTCTTTCGTTTTTCCTCTCCTTTCTTCTTCATCTCTTGAATAAACATCGAAATTTGACACACTCATGACTCAATAATTTCCGAAGAAATTCTTCAGTCTTCTTCCGTGCTTTGCTGATAGCGCGTGAACAGCTATTTCTCTGTCAGTCAAGTTATACGAAAATCAAGAAAGCTATTTCTCTATACTTCTTTAAATCTAGAAATATTCATATAGTCATAAACATGAAGTATATTTGTTGCACATGTTTTTATTCCATAATACACGATATGCTTCTACAATTGTGTCACGTTTATTCTAATCTGCAAAGGTTTGTGTTAAATCTAAATGTGTGTGTCGTGTCAATTGTTTGAAGAATCTATAATTTACGACAGAATGTGTAATAATTCTGTTTTTAAATTTTTGTTTTGTTTTAATTTCGTCAAAGAGTGCTCGAATGCGATTCTCGATATACTTGGTGTGTACAAATTAAAAGTCTTACGCTGGATATCTTGCGGTAACATGTATTGTACATTTTATTTTAGCATATTGCTGCCCCACGAGACGAAACCGTGCCTAACCGAAAAAATTGTAGAAAAGCTTTACGTAAGTATTCTTGCAAACAATACAATAATACTGCAAATTAAAAAAGCTTTAAAAAAACAAAACATTTGTGACAATTTTTTCTTATGCGTTCTTTTTAGTCGTCGGACCGAGTAAAGAATTTAGAAGATTTTCTAAACGAAGGCAAAGAGTACTTAAACCTGGCGAATAGTTTGGATGAGTGCAATCAAAGGAATCCGACGATATTTGCGATTATGTTAAAAGCTTTGGACATTTATTCAAGGGTGAGTTAAAGTCCAACGTGTGAGTCTCTGCAAAAGTAAAATTAAAACAAAAAATTGTAGGCAATTATTTCTCTATATATAAAATTATGAATTTTTAATCGTCGAATTCGAAGATTATTTTTAAGATCGTTTTTGTTTTATTGATTCAGTGATTTTAACGACGATTTTGTAGAATTTAGGAATTCAGATAATTTTCCTGTAAAATTTTATATTTAGGTGCTTGTTGAATTTTATCTCGTCTGAATTCGCCGCATATAATAATATTATGCATTTTATGTTGCGCATAGTTAAAAGTCCAGTTTCAAAGTGTGAATTATGATCAAACGATTACTGGCATCAGCATCTTTGAGCATTGCGATAGGATAAACAGCGACGAAGAATATTATGATTATTTGTACGATAGTGACACCGATTATAGTATCAATAGCGATATGAGCGACAATGATGATCCTTTCGTTTGGTTCTCTGATTATGATGGTCACATTAACCAGGTGGATTTCATCGGCCAGAGTTTTCATTACAAAATTATGCTGATGAAAATAGAGTTGCTGATTACGCGAATTCAAAACGTATACATCGCATTCATCAGGAATCGCTTGTTATTTGCCTTAATACTGATGAATTATTTCAAGAGATTGGATCTGTTTCTATCTAACAACGCGGAAATTTTAAATTTGCATAAACTAACAAGAAGTCAGCTACAGGATATCCGCTACAAATACAATCTCTTGAAGCAATTGACAGAGCGCATTGCTGAGGTACGTTTTCTGCCATATATTACGAGTTGTTAAACTAATTAAAATTTAATTTGTCTATGTGTCATCGCAATGACTTTGGAATAATTAATTCTTTATATATCAGCAGTATTTTATAATATTTTTTTGTTTAAACTGCTTTGTTTAATTGATTCTCAAAAAACTCTTAAAAAGAGTTATTTTTCTTATATAATTTTAACGTAAATATATTTAATTGAATTAATTATTAAGTGTGTGTGTAAGCACAATGTTATTTCTTGTCTGTATTTGTATCTTTGATATGTATACCTTTGATTTTTATATATTCAGGTTGGAATTAAAAACGGGAATACAATTTTAAATATGATATAACAAAGTGGATGCTATAAAGCAAGTGGATGGTCGAACTAATACAACGACTTCTTTACATATTTATATAATATTTATATTCTTTGTATATTCTGTATAATATTTCTTTATTTACATAATATTTCTAGAACGGAAAAAGATTTGATGTTGCTTTTTGTTAATGTATTATTTCTATAAATTAATGTATATATATTTTGTTGTTTGTTTCTCGAGATAAATAATTCATTAATTAGTATTTATAATATAAATGTTTATAATATAAATTTTTGCGTTACTTGTTACTATAAATTTTTTGCGTTACTTGTTACTTTTCTTGTCTAAATATAAAAAAATATATATAATAACAAATGTAGATACGTGTTGATACAAAAAAAAATAAAAACAATTTAGCCAGTCACGTAGCGTGAAAGAAAAATTTCGGCTTGAGATGTTATATTTTGTGCAAATTACATGTATAGAAATAAATAATACAATAAAGCTTAAATTTGTTATTTTTCAAATTTAATGTATTTTTTTCAAAGGAATATTTAAAATTAATACACTAATAATCTAATCAATAATACAATCATTTTATCTGATAATATCTGACGATAATCTGACGATAAAAGACGACAAAATGATCAAAGACAAATCTTTTGTGCATATCAATTACATTCGAACGCGCAAAGCTACGCTACAATAAAGATCTCGTGTTGTTATATCATTAATGTAACATAGCAAATGTTTTAAACGAGAGAAAAAACATCGGATTATTTTTTTCTTTTTTACGCAATTATAAAGAGTAAAAGAAGGCTTGATGTTTTTTCCTCTCTTCTTTTTCTTCTGGAGTTTGATCCAGCATGATCAATACTTCATAAATCTTTGAAGCTCTGTGCGGAAGCACTTTTATAACTTAAACAGACAAGAAACTTTCTAGTATTTAAATTATTTAATTATTATATTTAAATTATTTGAATTCTTATGCTACGTTATACATTTTTATTTAAAATATTTAAATTCAAAAAATTTTTAAATATTTAAATTTAAAAAATTTTGAATTTAAAATATACTCTACAAAAATGTGTAAAGAATGTGTATAACAACTAAACTTTTTGTATTTTTTTTCTTTTGATATATAATGTACATAACAAATGCTTTTTTAGACTCTGGCTGTATTCTGATATTCACGGCAGTGTTGCGATATGGGACCGGTTGTATGCGCATGTGCGGCTCTGCGCATGTGCGGTGATGGAAATCCAGTGCCGTTATATGTTGTGTGTTGACCGTATGGCGGGACGTTTTGACATGAGAAGGTTAGGTGACTACAAATAAGGTAAGATTTATTTATTTACAAGCATGGAATCTACGAAGCCAGCAGCTAAAAAACCAAGAAGTAGAAAATTTCAATCAATTTCAAAAAATTTAGAAATATTTTTAATGTAGCGGGGTAACGGTGCCTTGTTTAACTTGTATGAGACACTGTACTGATGCCGTATTGTCGCACATGCGCATACAACCGGTCCCATATCGCAACACTGATTCACGGCCAGTACTGAAATGCTACAGTGTACGTTACACAAACTATTAGTTTCAGTACTGGCAGTGAACAGTGAACATCAGAATTCAATCTCTGTCGCTCTCTCTTGTAGATGGCGCGATTTCTAGTTAGTTGGTCTGGTTTATCACGGAGATAGTTCCAAAGAGCGTTGTGCATTAATGTGCCGCGTTATCAGTTGTTCATTTTTACCGCCAATTACGCGTTGGTTGTGTGTCGGAGTGCACTTTCGCGGATCGCATACGCGAAGTGTCTCCTCGATAAAGTTTTTGTGTTTTCCTTATCTTTACGATGGCAGACCCACGGAACTGTCGTGATTGCATTTCTCGTGAACTGACAATCGAAGAGAAGGAATATGCAGCGGCGAATTTGAACGAGACTGATGAGAACAGAGAAAAGACCATCGCGCAGATTAGACACTGGATCCAGGAAAATGACGACTTATGCGCTCGTACCGGTAAAAATAACAGCATTTACATAAAATGTGCACGTTAAAGTGTGTGTGTGTGTTGAAAATTAATTCGGCTCATTGAAATTTTGCCACTGCATTTTAAAATGAACAACACTTTAAAATAAAATTATTTTTCATTAACATGACATTATCTCTAATATTTAATTCGTTAAACTTGTCTTTGATCGCACAATAAAAAAGTGTAACAAAAGTATATAAATTTTCTTATTAAAAGAAAAATTTTTATTCTCTTGAATAACAATTTTTATTTTTTTATGTTTAATAGAAACATGTAAATGTATTCTCAATTTTAAAAGTAAAATTGAAATCTTTAAATTATTGAAGTTTATCACTGCTTTTCTTGCTATGTGATTTGTTTTATATTGTGCATTATGCTTGCTTGCATCGCTTGTATTTTGACAGCTCGAATATCACTTTACGTCACAACCAGCTAATAATGCGAAATAAGTTGAATTATCACGAGGCAAGGTCATCTCGCGTTAATTTGACGAATTAATTATATGCATTAAACTCTTTATCTTTTTTTATACATATAAATATTTTGATGTGACCATGTATCTTTTATCTAAATTGATACCCGTAAAAATAGAGTCAACTTTCACAGTTTTAAATATTTTCATAAATATTAAATAAAATATACTAATATAAAATTAAAAAATCTTATTTTTATTTATTATATAATTAATAATCTACGCATAGTACGTATATTAAGTTAAAGAATAAAATCAATTAAACAGTAAGAATTAGATAACGATTATATTTACACTGTGATTGAAATAAAATTTTACGATTGTCTCAGAATTTCTCATGCAAATTACGTTGCATGACAAAAAATCTAATTGTCATAAGAATGACAATTTTAAAGTTACTACTTTATTATGCATTATCTATTATATAACATATTATATAAATATCTTGTTTTGTTACATGATTAATGAGCAAGTTTTTTTACAACATTGATTTTTTTTATGGGCTTCTTGATTACAAAAAGTTATTATTTTACAATTATCAAATTATTTGCATTAGTTAAATACCGCAAATATCAATAGTTGATAGATTTTATTTATTATAATTGGTCATTCAAAAAAGTTAATTACTTTAAATACAGATGACTTTTTTCTTTTGCGGTTTTTGAGAGTCTGCAAATTTGATATCGAAAAAACCAAAACAAAGATACGAAATTACTATAAACAACGATCCGATCTGCCGGAATGGTTTGCGGACAAGGATCCTCTTCGACCGGAATTGCAGGAGCTGCTCGACATAGGGTAACGACAACTATTCTAATTACAAAGTATAATTAAACAAAAAAGTTGATTTTTTGCCACAAGTATCGTGTCAGATAAATCTAATAGCATTTCTGATGCTGAATTTAAACGTGTTTTTCATTCCTTTCAATTACGTAAATTTTTCGAGTAAAACACTTTGATATAAATCTATTAAGTTATATTTTCTGTAAACTTATTTTTTATTAAAATATAACACTGATTAATTTTCTTTTATATTTTATTTGGAAAATTTGGTTTCTTAGGAATATAAATGTTCAATAGTAATTTTTTAATCTGAGACCAAGTGCATAATTTTTCTGTTCTGATGATCTTGATACTAAACTATAATCGATTAATCATATTTAATGTGTTACAATCTTAAAATTTTGATAATTAACTTTTTAAATATATAAAAATGCTATCTTAATAAATCTATATAAATATATACACTGTTACGTCGGAATATCACAGTTTTTACACAAAAAGTAATTGAAAAGAGATGACTGATTACATTTTTAAATGTATTATTAGCGTAAAATATATGTAAAAAGCATTAAAAATATCAGAAGTTACAAAATTATGTTGTACAGCGTTACTAAAGTGCGGAAATTCGTGAGATTTCACGATAAACTTTTCTGTTCAACGGTTTCCAATGGATTCCAACTTTCTCAGGTAGAATGTGTTGAGACAAATTACGTGTAATTATTTTCGCGCTGCTTGAACTATGAATAATATCTTTATTAATTTATTTTCATCAAGTTGTCAAGGAAACAAAGCATCTCGAACCAGTTAATTAAAATGTCAATTAAAATGACTCACCGTGAAATCTCACGATTTTCCACACTCTAATGGTTATTATCGCCGATTTTTCTCGTAACGTTGTAGTTACAAATTACGTAGCATTCACTCATCGTTAAATCACTACTCACTGATGAGATTTAATTACTTTAATTTATGTCATTAATTCGTAACTAATTTGCATAATAATTCCGGTTTAAGTGCTTGTAATTGAACATTCGACATTATTAGAGTGTTTAGTTCCATGGAACATTGAAGCTTCCTACTTATTTTGTATGATATAAGGAAAAGCGTCTCGTGATTTTAATTGACTGACAATTTAATTGACAGAAAATAAATAAAAATTTAATGGAAAATTTTCTGACAAGTTTAAAGCCAAATTTTTCCTTAATTTATTTATTTTAAAGAATATTGAAGATATTTTGTTTGCAGCAAAATAAAAAAATGCACTAATTGCATTGATTTAGAAATATTTCACTTATGTATAGATTATTTTTGCCCTTACGAAAGCTGGACGATCAGAAGAGGATGGTTATCTTCGTGCGTGTCGGTCGGCAAAATCCATCCACAGAGAAGTTATCAGATCTAATTAAAGTATGATTAATAGCGTAATGTGATTCGAATAATTTATAACGTATTTTATTAGAATTATTTAAAGTAATATCTTTTTTTCATTCTTTTGTTTCTCAACGAATGATCTCTTTTTAGATCGGTATGATGACGATGGACGTGTTGGCGAGAAATCACGTTGAAGGATCCATGTACGGTTGTGTCGTATATATAGATTTGGATCTTGTTCACATAGGTCACGTTACTCAGATGCGTCCCAATGTCATAATGAATCTGGTCCGCTCGTGGCAAGGATGCTTTCCGATGAAGATCAAGTCAATAAACTTTATCAACGCGCCGGAGTACGCTCATGTAGTTCTGCGAATTTTCAAGTCTTTCATGAATGAGAAGTTGAAGCAGAGAATGCACACCTATACGAAAAAAATGATGCACGATTATTTCAAGGATATCCCGGTTGATATCCTGCCGGTCGAATATGGCGGTACTGATGGTACAATCGTAGAATTAAAAGGTAATTATATTAAGCAAAACAGAAAGAAAACGAGAGAAAGAAGAAAGCAAATTCATATATTTTGTATTATCCAATAATTGTAACAAAAAATTAATTCTTGATTTCTTATATGTGAAATTGCGATAATTGGAAGTATTTAAACGAATGTTATTTGAGATTCGTAAATTTGATTTGTATATCTTTGCATACGAGCCTGAACATTTGTAACTTAACTTGCATAATGTAACCTTTTACACTTGCAGAATATTGGAAGGAAGTGCTCGAAGAGAATCGCGACTGGATTATCGATGATGAAAAGTACAAGCTAGTGTCAAAAAAAAAATAGTCCGAGATGTGTCCGAATTAATCTCACGCACACAGAGTGACAATTGCCGACTGCATGAAATTGGTAAAACAGTGATAAGGTGATAAGGTAATAAAAAAAAAACGACAATATAATATCGATACATAGAATATGTGATTAAGATTTTTATAAAAAGAAGACTATACCTGCGTGTATGTATATGAAATCTTTTTGTCTCACTTTTATATAAGTAAATATATATTTTTACACTGTCAGGCTTTCCTTTTGCATTCCGCAATTTCTTTAATTTACGAGGAATTTTTCTTTTTTTATTGATGAACGTCCGACGGTAGTTTTTCTTTGACAAGCATTGTTATCATCGCGCATAGACTTCGTGAGTTCATCATAAGTTCATGTACGCGACATGATATAATTTTTTAACGTACTTTAATTTGTTAGATAACGACACGTCGAAATTATAGGCGATAGATAAAACGGATTGTGCTATTAATTGACGCATTTCTATTCCTGAGAGAGATACGTTCACGAGTTAAACACTGCAAAATGTACATACGTAAATAGATCATGGGCAAGTAATATTGCACTACTAATCAGCTATTGTTCGTTAATTTATAAACCTTGCAACTACTATTCTGTGCTAGCCCGAGACGATTTTGCAGATTCCAAGTTTCCAAATTGTTTTGTAGAAATGTTACATCAGACAATTTGAATTATTCATGAATTGCACGTGGTCTGACGATTAATCTCGCTGACGCATATGACAAAGTGCACAAATGTACGATCCTATTTACAATATTTCGAACGTAAATAGACGAGAAATTGTGCAAGGCAAAGAAAAATAGAATATTCTATTTTTAGTGCAATAAGAATACCGGCACAGAATATACATTATTGATTCGCATTTTTGCTGATTTAAAATAACCATACTTTATACGGCCTACTTAAGGTTCAAAGTTTTTGTATTTAAGGAAAAATATATATATTTTACAAAAAAATAACACTGAAATAATAGTCAGTTAGAAGCATGTATAAAAATAAAAATTTTAAGTAACCTAAATAATTCTAGTATATAATAAGAACACAGGCACAGAATACACATTTATTCGAAGGTTGTGATAATTTTTCAGATTTTGGGCCAGATTTTTTAAACGTTTTGCTAAAGTATATTTTTTAAAAGTTTCTATTAATTTTTTGTAAAGGAAAAGTTGAAAAATATGCAGGTAAATTAAATAAATTTTTGATAAATTAATTTTTTGTTTCAACAAAATCAAATTAGCACATGCATTTATTGATATTGCAATATTTAACAATCACATGTTGAGGAAGTAACAGAGTTCTCGTTTTTTCTTTATTGTAATTCGAGATTTCTGCATTAGCGTGATTGACTCTAAAATACTGTTAAGAACTTTCTGACACAACATCTTTTTGCTTCCCCGATTTAAAAATGATTTCTAAATTGGAAAATAAGCAAGAAATAACAGGAAGTAATAAGTATTCTATACTAATTAGACTACATAAGTCTTTTTTGTAGAAAAACAAAGATTTTTCCTAAAAATTGGGCATAATTTATTAAATATGCAATATTAAAATATGTTTATACAATTAAGAATAAACTAAATATAGTTTAATTGGTACAATATCAAACTCAATTACAAATTTTTACTAATTATTATCAAAGAACATTTGTCAATAAAATATGATAACGCTTAAAAAAACGAGATACATTCGGAACGTATTTCTATGATGCTTATGAAAAGATCTAATAACATGTATAATAATATTTTATATGATCATATAAAATTACATATGTTGTTAGATCTTTTCATAACTAATTATATATATTTATATCTGACCAATTATACCATTTTTTTCTCGGGTAGGGAAGTGTCACAAGTGTTCGGCGCCGATTTAATTCTTCTTGAAATATGTTATAAAACTTACAATTTTAGATTACAGATATTTTTTATCGGACACGTGTGAGCATTCCCTTAGATAATACGTGTAAAATAAAATAAGCATCACATCTAATCAGACACTTTCCTTCTCCGCTCGGAGTCATTGGACAAATCCCTACTCGGTGCTCCAGTATAGATAGAGATCCTTGAACTTTATAACATACTGGAATGAGCTTTGAAGGAGTGGGAATGGTTTCATTGTCGAAAAAACTGTTTAATATTGCCGGGGCGGAGGGGGGGGGGAGGCATTTGTCTCATCCCCACCAATACACGGTATAAATGAGGACTGAGGACAAACATCTCTGGCAGACGGCGCGATTTTTAGTTAGTTGATCTATTTATTGCGGAGATTATTGCAAAGAGTGTTGTGTTATCAGGTGTCCATTTTTATCGCCAATTACGCGGTGGTGGTTACGCGCTAAAGTTGCGTTTTCACGGGTCGCATATACGAGGTGTCTTCTCGGTAAAGTCTTTGTGTTCTTCTTATTTTTACGATGACGGATCCACGGAGCTGTCGTGATTGCGTCTCTCGTAAACTGACAATTGAAGAAAAGGAATATGCAGCAGCGAATTTGAACGAGACCGATGAGAACAGAGAAAAGGCCATCACGCACATTAGACACTGGATTCAGGAGAATGATGATTTATGCGCTCGCACCGGTAAACATAACGACATTTACGTAAAATGTGCACGTTAAATTGTTGAAAAATAATTTGATACATTAAAATTCTGCAGTATTAAAATAAAATTATTTTTAATTAACATGACATTATACATCTAATATTTTGACGAATCAATTATGTGCACTAAACTCTTTATTTATCTTCCTTTATATAAATATTTTAATGTTGTTATATCTAAATTGATACCCGTAAAAATAGAGTCAACTTTCACAGTCTAAAATTTTTTCATAAATATTAAATACAATAAAATATACTAATATAAAATTAAAAAATTTTATTGTAATTTATTATATAATTTATAATCTACACATACAGTATAAAAAACAAGTTAAAAATTAAAATCAATTGAACAGTAAGAATTAGATAATGATTATATTACGCTACTGTGATTGAAACGAAATTTTATGATTGTGATATCATTCTTAGAGTTGCTGGACGAAATTCTTTCTCATGCAACGTAATTTAAAAACAGTGTAAAATGACAATGACATTTAAAGTTGCTACTTTAAATATCATTGTTATTCTTAGAGTTGCTGGACGAAATTCTTTCTTATGCAACGTAATTTAAAAACAGTGTAAAATGACAATGACATTTAAAGTTGCTACTTTAAATATCATTGTTATTTTTAGAGTTGCTGGACGAAATTCTTTCTCGTGCAACGTAATTTAAAAACAGTGTGAAGCAATCATAAAATTTCGTTTCAATCGCAGTAGCGTAATATAATCATTATCTAATTCTTACTGTTCAATTGATTTTATTTTTTAACTTTTTTTTTATACTGTATGTGTAGATTATAAATTATATAATAAATTAAAATAAAAATTTTTAATTTTATATTAGTACATTTTATTGTATTTAATATTTATGAAAAAATTTTAGACTGTGAAAGTTGACTCTATTTTTACGAGTATCAATTTAGATATGACGACATTAAAATATTTATATGCATATCTATTATATACCATATTACATAAACATTTTATTTTGTTGTCTGAATAATAAGTAGATTTTTTCACAACATTGATTTCTTGTTCGAGCTTTTTGAAAAAATTATTATTCAATTATTAACATTATTTGCAAATATCAATAGTTGACAGATTCTTTTATTATAATTGGTCATTTAAAAAAATTAATCACTTTGAGTACAGATGACTTCTTTATTTTGCGGTTTTTGAGAGTTTGCAAGTTTGATATCGAAAAAACCAAAACGAGGATACGAAATTATTATAAACAACGATTCGATCTGCCGGAATGGTTTGCGAACAAGGATCCCCTTAGGCCAGAATTGCAGGATCTGCTCGACGAAGGGTAACACAACTATTCTAAAGTATAACTACATTTAACAACAAGATTTTCCACAAGCGTTCTGTCAGATAAATCTAATAGCATTTCTGATGCTGAATTTAAACGTGTTTTTTATTTTTTTTAAATCAAATTTTTTATAGATTAATTTCTTAAATATATATAAACGCCATCTTGATAAATCTATATAAATATATACGCTGTTATGACGAAATATCACAGTTTTTACACAAAAAGCAAGGATTGAAAAGAAATGGCTGATTACATTTTTAAATTTATTGTCAACGTAAAATATATGTAAAAAGCATTAAAAATGTCAAATGTTACAAAAATTATGTAATACAACGTTACAAAATGCAGAACTTCCAGTAATTTTTCGATGAGCTTTTCCGTTCAATAGTTTCCATGTGATTCCAACTTTTTCAGGTAGCATGCGTTGAGACAAACTAAGTGTAACAATTTTTGCGTTGTTTAAACTATGAATAAGATTTTTATTAATTTATTTTCATGTTGTCAAAAAAACAAAGCATCTCGAACTAGTCAATTAAAATGACTCACCGTAAAATCTCACGATTTTCCAGACTCTAATAGTTATTATCGCCGATTTTTCTCGTAATATACAGTCACAAATAATGCGGTACTTATAGTTAAATTACTACTCAGTGAGATTTAGTTATTTAAATTTTTGTCATTAAGTCGTGATTAATTTGCATTTATGGTTAATGAGCTTGAAATTAAGCATTTAACATCATCATATTGTTGATTTCTATGAAACCTTGAAGTTTCATATTTATTTTGTATGATATAAAGCAGAGTGTTTCGTGACTTTAATTGATTGACAAGTCAATCACACATAATTAATAGAAAATCGATAAAAATTTAATGGAAAATTCTCTGACAAGTTTGAAGCCAAATTTTTCCTTAATTTTTTTATTTTAAAGAATATTGAAGACATTTTGTTTGTCACAAAATAAAAAACATATTAATTGCATCGCTTTAAAAATTTCATTTACGTTTAGATTATTTTTACCTTTACGAAAGTTGGACGATCAGAAAAGGATGGTTATCTTCTCGCGTGTCGGTCGGCAAAATCCATCCACACAGAAATTATCAGATTTCATTAAGGTATGATTAATAGCGTAATGTGATTCGAATAATTTATAACGTATTTATTAAAATTATTTAAAGTAATATCTTTTTCGTTTTGCAATAAATAATCTCTTTTTATATTTAGATCTGTAACATGACAATGGAAGTGTTTGCGAGGAATCATGTTGAAGGATCCATATATGGTTACGTCGCATATACAGATTTCGATCTTGTGCATATGGGTCACATCAGTCAAATGCGTCCCAATATTATAAGGAATTTCATCTACACATGGCAAGATTGCTTTCCGCTGGAAATCCAGTCAATAAATTTTATCAACACACCGGCGTGTGCTCATGCAGTTCTGCGGATTGTGAAATATTTTCTGAACGAGAATTTGAGGCAGAAAGTACACACTTATACGAAAAAAATGATGCAAAATTGTTTCAATGATATTCCGGCTGATATCTTGCCGGTCGAATATGGCGGTACTGGTGGTACAATCGTAGAATTAAAAGGTAATTATATTTAACAAAACGGAAAGAAAATGAGAAAAAGAAGAAAGTAAATTCATATATTTCGTATTATCCAATAATTGTAACAAAAAATTAATTCTAGATTTCTCATATATGAAATTGCGATAATTGGAAGTATTTAAACGAATGTTATTTGAGATTCGTAAATTTGATTTGTATGTATTTGCATACGAGCCTGAACATTTGTAACTTAACTTGCATAATGTAATCTTTCACGCTTGCAGAATATTGGAAGAAAGTGCTCGGAGAGAATCGCGATTGGATTATTGATGATGAAAAGTACAAGCTAGTGTCAAAGGAAAAGTAGCCCGAGATATGTCCGAATTAATCTCACGCACACATAGTGATAATTGCCGATTGCATGAAATTGATAAAACGGTGATAAGGTAATAAGATAATAAAAAAAAACGATAATATAACATCGATAAAATATGTGATTAAGATTTTTATAAAAAGAAGACTATACCTGCGTGCATGTATATGAAGTTTTTTTGTCTCACTTTTATATAAGTAAATATATATTTTTACACTGTTAGGCTTTCCTTTTGCATTCCGCAATTTCTTTAATTTACGAGAAATATTTTTTTTTTTTTATTGATAAACGTCCGACGGTAGTTTTTTTTTGATAAGCATTGTTATCATCGTGCATAGATTTCGTGAGTTCATGTGCGTAACATGATATGATTTTTTAACGTACTTTAATTTGTTAGATAATTCGATACGTCAAAATTATAAGCGACAGATAAAACGAATTGTGCTATCAGTTGACGCATTTCTATTTCTGAGAGAGATACGTTCACGAGTTAAACACTGCAAAATGTACGTAAATAGGTCATGGACTATAATTAATATTGCACTACTAATCGGCTATTGTTCGTTAATTTATAAATCTTGCAACTACTATTCTGTGCTAGCCAGAGACGATTTTACAGATTCCAAGTTTCCAAATAGTTTTGCAGAGGTGTTATATCAGACGATTTGAATTATTCATTAATTGCACGTAGTCTGACGACTAATTTCGCTTACGCACATGACAAAATGCACAATTGTACGATACTATTCGCAATATCTTGAACGTAAATAGACGAGAAATTGTGCGAGAGAAAGGAAAATAGAATAGAAATAGAATATTCTGTTCCTAGTGTAATAAGAATTCAGGCACAGAATATACATTATTGGTTTGCATTTTTACTGAATTAAGATAATCATACTTTATGCGGCCTACTTAAGGTTCAAAGTTTTTGTATTTAAAAAAAAAATATATATATATATATATATACATATACATATATATATTCTAGAAAGAAATAACACTGAAATAATAGTCACAATTAGAACATGTATAAAAATAAAAATTTTAAGAAACTTAAATAATTTTAGTATATAATAAGAATACAGGCACAGAATACACATTCACATTTATTCGAAGTATAAGTCAGAAGTATAAAATAAATTCTTTCTGTTTTAACTTTTATTATTCTCTTTTTTTTTTCATTTTTCACATGTACACAAGTATGAGTTCTATGTTGCGTAACTAGGAAATATAGCGGCCGCCTCCGTTGCGAATGTGTTCCTCCGCTAGAACTTGAACTCCGTCCCTCTATTCCTCAGTCCGTGTCTATAACATACTGGAGTGAGCCTTGAAGGAGTGGGAACGGTTCCACTGTGGAAAAAGACTGTTTAATATTACCGGAGGGGAGATCTGCCTCATCCCCACCAATACGCTGTGTGGAGGAAATGAGGAATAACGACAGATGTCTCTGGCGGACGGCGCAATTTCTAGTTAGTTAATCTATATATTGCGGAGATTATTGCAAAGAGCGTTGTGTTATCCGGTGTTTATTCTTATCGCCAATTACGCGGTGGTTGTACCAAAGTTGCGTTTTCGCGGGTCGCATATACGAGGTGTCTTCTTGGTAAAGTCTTCTTTACCTTCTCGTGTTCTTATTTTTACGATGACGGATCCACGGAGCTGTCGTGATTGCGTCTCTCGTGAACTGACAATCGAAGAAAAGGAATATGCAGCGGCGAATTTGAACGAGACCGATGAGAACAGAGAAAAGGCCATCACGCACATTAGACACTGGATCCAGGAGAATGATGATTTATGCGCCCGTACTGGTAAAAAAAACGGCATTTACGTAAAATGTGCACGTTAAATTGTTGAAAGTTAATACAATTTATTAAAGTTTTGCAGTGTTAAAATAAAATTATTTTTAATTAACGTGACATTATACATCTAATATTTAATTTGTTGAATTTGTCTTTGATCGCACAATAATGATAAAAATGTAACGAAAGTATATAATTCAAAAAATAAATAAAAGCTAAACAGCCGTTGCTACCCAGGGAGAACAACAGGTCTAATAGACGGCTAATAGACGTCTATTAGATGTCTATTAAACGTTTCTTAGACCTGTTATTCTTTCTGGGTAGATGATCGTGCTAGTGTATTCGAAGGCAAATTATAAAAACAACGTTTTGATCTGTTATCAGGTCTTCCTCAAGTTTACAATAAATAAAAAATTACATTACAAATAATAACGCTTATTCGAATCAATTAAACAATTATTATAGAACATCGTTGATATGCGTAGGTGTTAGCACGCAGTTATACATATATTAAAAAGTTAATAGTTGATGAAGTCATTAACAGATATCAATGAATTACTATTGTTAGTCATTATCTTGATTGACAATTATTCACAATGATATCGTTGTTTGAAATCGTTGATTAAAAAAAGAGAATCAAATTTAATTGGAAAAGTCAGAGATTTCTGGTCAACCATTAAAAGTAGAAAAATTGAACTTATGTGTCAGAAGATAAAATTAACAGTAAAAGTATATAAATTTTCCAAACAAAATTCTTTTACATAACAATTTTTACGCATATTTAGTAGAAAAAAATTAATGTACTATTATTATTAAAAGTATAATTAAAATCTTTAAATTATTCAAATTTATTGCTACTTTTTTGCGCTATGTTGATTGATTTTTTATTGCACATTATGTAATGTGTTTGTTTGTTTGAAGACGTATTTTAATAACTTGAATATCACTTTTTATATCATAATTTGCTGATACAACGTAGATCTTGATAATGCAACAAGTTAAAGGTTAATAATTGTGTTATGAGTACTTTTAATTGCTGAGTTGAGGAAATGTTGAGTTTGATATTATTTTGACGAATCAATTATGTGCACGAAACTCTTTATTTATCTTTTCTTATATAAATATTTTAATGTTGTTATATCTAAATTGATACCCGCAAAAATACAGTCAACTTTCACAGTCTTAAATTTTCTCATAAATATTAAATAAAATATACAATATACAATAAAGTATAAATATATAATATAAAATTAAAAAATCTTATTTTAATTTATTATATAATTTATAATTTACACATACAGTATAAAAAACAAGTTAAAGAATAAAATCAATTGAACGGTAAGAATTAGATAATGATTATATTACGCTACTGCGATTGAAACGAAGTTTTATGATTATCTCACACTTTTTAAATTATGTTGCATGAGAAAGAATTTCGTCCAGCAACTTTAAGAATCATAAAGACATTTAAAGTTACTACTTTAATATGCACATTTATTATATACCATATTACATAAATATTTTATTTTGCTGCCTAAATAATAAGTAGGTATTTTCACGACGTTGATTTTTTGTTTGAGTTTTTTGAAAAAATTATTATTTAATTATTAACATTATTTGCAAATATCAATAATTGACAAATTTTTTTATTATAATTCGTCATTTTAAAAAATTGATTACTTTGAGTACAGATGACTTTTTTATTTTGCGGTTTTTGAGAGTTTGTAAGTTTGATATTGAAAAAACCAAAACGAGGATACGAAATTATTATAAACAACGATTCGATCTGCCGGAATGGTTTGCAAACAAGGATCCCTTTAGGCCAGAACTGCAGGACCTGCTCGACACAGGGTAACACAACTATTCTAAAGTATAATTACATTGAACAACAAAATTTTCCACAAATATTGTGTCAGATAAATCTAATAGCATTTCTGATGCTGAATTTAAACGTGTTTTTATTTTTTTTTTAATTAAATTTTTTATAGTATAATTTTTGAAATTTATATAAACGCACTCTTGATAAATCTATATAAATGTATACGCTGTTATGACGAAATATCACAGTTTTTACACAAAAAGTAAGGATTGAAGAGAAATGGCTAATTACATTTTTAAATTCATTGTTAGCGTAAAATATGTGTAAAAAGCATTAAAAATGTCAGATGTTACAAAAATTATGGTGTACAACGTTGCTAAAGTGCGAAAATTCATGTGATTTTACGATGAGCTTTTCCGCTCAATGGTTCTCATGTGATTCCAACTTTTTTAGGTAGCATGCGTTGAGGCAAACTAAGTGTAACTATTTTTGCGTTGCTTAAACTATGAATAAGATCTTTATTAATTTATTTTCATGTTGTTAAAAAAACAAAGCATCTCAAACCAGTCAGTTAAATTGACTCACCGTGAAATCTCACGATTTTCCAGACTCTAATAGTTATTATCGCCGATTTTTTTCGTAATATACAATCACAAATAATGCGGCACTTATAGTTGAATTACTACTCAGTGAGATTTAACTATTTAAATTTTTGTCATTAAGTCGTGATTAATTTGCATTTCTGGTTTATGAGCTCATAATTAAGCATTTAACTTTATCATATTGTTGATTTGTATGAAATCTTAAAGTTTCCTATTTATTTTGTATGATATAAAAAAGAGCGCCTCGTGATTTTAACTGTTTGACAAGTCTATCATATATAATTAATAGGAAATCAATAAAAATTTAATGGAAAATTTTCTGACAAGTTTGAAGCCAAATTTTTTCACGTTAAAGAATATTAAAGACATTTTGTTTGCCACAAAATAAAAAAAATGTATTAATTGCATCAATTTAAAAATATTTCACTTACATTTAGATTATTTTTGCCCTTACGAAAGTTGGACGATCAGAAAAGGATGGTTCTTTTCGCGCGTGTCGGTCGGCAAAATTCATCCACACAGAAATTATCAGATCTAATTAAGGTATGATTAATAGCGTAATGTGATTCGAATAATTTCTAACGTATTTTATTAGAATAATTTAAAATAATGTCTTTTTTTATTTCCCAATGAATAATCTTGTTTTAGATCGGTAACATGATAATGGAAGTGTTGACGAGGAATCATGTTGAAGGATCCATATATGGTTACGTCGCATATATAGATCTCGATCTTGTGCATATGGGTCACGTTACTCAAATGCGTCCCAATATCCTGAGAAATATGATCCACACATGGCAAGATTGTTTTCCGCTGGAGATCCAGTCAGTCAATTTTATCAACACACCGGAGATTGTTCATGTAGTTCTGCGGATTTTGAAACATTTCATGAACGAGAATTTGAAGCAGAGGGTACACATTTATCCGAAAAAAAAGATGCATAATTATTTCAATGATATTTCGGCTAATATCTTGCCGGTCGAATATGGCGGTACTGATGGTACAATCGTAGAATTAAAAGGTAATTATATTAATCAAAATGGAAAGAAAACGAGAGAAAGAAGAAAGCAAATTCATATATTTCGTATTATCTAATATATGTAACAAAAAATTAATTCTTGATTTCTTATATATGAAATTGCGATAATTGGAAGTATTTAAACGAATGTTATTTGAGATTCGTAAATTTGATTTGTTTGTATTTGCATACAAGCTTGAACATTTGTAACTTTATTTGCATGGTGTAATCTTTCACGCTTGCAGATTATTGGAAGAAAGAGCTCGAAGAGAATCGCGACTGGATTATTGATGATGAAAAGTACAAGTTAGTGTCAAAAAAAAAGTAGCCCGAGATGTGTCCGAATTAATCTCACGCACACAAGAGTGATAATTGCCGACTACATAAAATTGATAAAACGGCGTAATAAATAAGGTGATATTATTTAAATAAGAAATAAATTTATAATAAGGTGATAAGATAACAAAAAAAAAAAAACGACAGTGTGATATATCGATGTATATCGATGCGGTACATGGTATATGTGATTAAGATTTTTATAAAAAAAGATATATATACTTACCTGCGTGTATGTATATGAAGTTTTTTGTTTCACTTTTAAATAAGCAATAATATAAATTAAACATTTTTGCGTTGCCAGGTTTCTTCTTGCACTCCGTAATTTTTTTGACTTTCGAGGAATTTTTTCTTCTTTTTTTATTGATAAACGTCCGACGGTAGTTTTTCTTTGACAAGGATTGTTATCATCGCGCATAGATTTCGTGAGTTTATCATAAGTTTATGTGCGCGACATGATATAATTTTTTAACGTACTTTAATTTGTTAGATAATTCGATACGTCAAAATTATAGGCGATAATAAAATGAATTATGCTATCAATTGACGCATTTCTATTTCTGAGAGAGATACGTTCACCAGTTAAATACTGCAAAATGTACGTAAATAGGTCATGGGCAAATAATATTGCACTACGATTAATCAGCTATTGTTCGTCAACTTATGAACGTAGTAACTACTATTCTATGCTAGTCCGAGACAGATTTCAAGTTTCCAAATTGTTTTGCAGAGGTGTTATATCAGATAATTTGAATTACTCATGAATATCACGTAGTATGACGACTAATCTCGCTGATGCACATGACAAAATGCACAATTGTACGATACTATTCCCAATATCTCGAACGTAAATAGACGAGATATTGTGCAAGATAAAGGAAAATAGAGTATTTTGTTCCTAGTGTAATAAGAATTCAGACACAGAATATACATTATTTGTTCGCATTTTTACTAAATTAAGATAATCATACTTTATGCGGCCTAAGGTTCAAAGTTTTTGTATTTAAAAAAAAATAATATATATATATATATATTTTACAAAAAAATAACACTCAAATAATAGTCAGTTAGAACATGTATAAAAATAAAAATTTTAAGTAACTTAAATAATTTTAGTATATAATAAAAACACAGGCACAGAATACACATACACATTTATTCGAAGTATAAGTTAGAAGTATAAAATAAATTCTTCCTGTTTTAACTTTTATTATTCACTTTCATTTCTCACGTGTACACAAGTATGAGTTCTATGTTGCGTAACTAGGGAACAAATATAGCGGCCGCTTCCGTTGCGAACGTGTTATTCCGCTAGAACTTGAACTCCGTTCCTCTATTTCTTAGTTCGTGTCTATAACATACTGGAGTGAGCCTTGAAGGAGTGGGAACGGTTCCATTGTGGAAAAAGACTGTTTAATATTATCGGAGGGGGGATCTGTCTCATCTCCACCAATACACAGTGTGGAAGAAATAAGAAATGACGTCAGACGTCTCTGGCAGACGGTGCAATTTCTAGTAGTTAGTTAATCTATTAATAGCGGAGATTATTGCAAAGAACGTTGCGTTATCCGGTGTTCATTCTTATCGCCAATTACGCGGTGATTGTACCAAAGTTGCGTTTTCGCGATTCGCATATACGAGGTGTCTTCTCGGTGAAATCTTCGTGTTCTCCTTATTTATACGATGACGGATCCACAGAGCTGTCATGATTGCGTCACTCGTGAACTGACAATCAAAGAAAAGGAATATGCAGCGGCGAATTTGAACGAGACCGATGAGAACAGAGAAAAGGCCATCACGCACATTAGACACTGGATCCAGGAGAATGATGATTTATGCGCTCGCACCGGTAAAAATAACGGCATTTACGTAAAATGTGCACGTTAAATTGTTGAAAATTAATACTATTGATTAAAATTCTGCATTGATAAAATAAAATAATTTTAAATTAACATGACATTATACATATAATATTTAACTTGTTGAATTTGTCTTTGATCGCACAATAATAGATAAAGATGTAACGAAAGTATATAATTCGAAGCATAAATAAAAAGCTAAACAGCCGTTGCTAGATGGTCGTGCTTGTATATTCGAAGGCAAATTATAAAAACAACGTTTTGATCCGTTATCAGGTTTTCCTCAAGTTTACAATAAACAAAAAATTACATTACAAATAATAACGCTTATTCGGATCAATTAAACAATTATTATAGAACATCGTTGATATGTGTTGGTGTTAGCACGCAGTTATATATTAAAAAGTTAATAGTTGATGAAGTCTTTAACAGATATCAATGAGTTACTATTGTTAGTCATTATTTTGATTGACAATTATTCACAGTGATATCGTTGTGTGAAATTGTTGATTGAAAAAAGTTGATTGAACCAAATTTAATTGGAAAAGTCAGAGATTTCTAGTCAACCATTAAAAGTAGAAAAATTAAACTTATGTGTCAGAAGATAAAATTAACAGTAAAAGTATATAAATTTTCCAAACAAAATTCTTTTACATAACAATTTTTACGCATATTTAGTAGAAAAAAATTAATGTACTATCATTATTAAAAGTATAATTAAAATCTTTAAATTATTCAAATTTATTGCTACTTTTTTGCGCTATGTTGAATAGGTTTTTATTGCACATTATGTAATGTGCTTGTTTGTTTGAAGACGTATTTTAATAACTTGAATATCACTTTTCATATTATAATTCGCTGATACAAAGTAGATGTTGATAATGCAACAAGTTAAAGGTTAATAATTGTGTTATAAATACTTTAATTTTCTGAGTTGAGGAAATGTTGAGTTTGATATTATTTTGACGAATCAATTATGTACACCAAACTCTTTATTTATCTTTTCTTATATAAATATTTTAATGTTGCCATATCTAAATTGATACCCGTAAAAATAGAGTCAACTTTCACAGTCTTAAATTTTCTCATAAATATTAAATAAAATATACAATATACAATAAAATATAAATATATAATATAAAATTAAAAAATTTTATTTTAATTTATTATATAATTTATAATTTACACATACAGTATATAAAACAAAAAAATAAAGAATAAAATTAATTGAACAGTAAGAATTAGATAATGATTATATTACGCTACTGCGATTGAAACGATGTTTTATGATTATCTCACACTGTTTTTAAATTACGTTGCATGAGAAAGAATTTTGTTCTTTTTCAATGTCATTTAAAGTTACTACTTTAATATGTACATCTATTATATAATATGTTACATAAATATTTTATTTTGCTGCCTGAATAATAAGTAGGTTTTTTCACGACGTTGATTTCTTGTTTGAGCTTTTTGAAAAAATTATTATTCAATTATTAACATTATTTGCAAATATCAATAGTTGACAGATTGTTTTATTGTAATTGATCATTTAACAAAATTAATCACTTTGAGTACAGATGATTTTTTTATTTTGCGGTTTTTGAGAGTTTGCAAGTTTGATATTGAAAAAACCAAAACGAGGATACGAAATTATTATAAACTACGATTCGATCTGCCGGAATGGTTTGCAAACAAGGATCCCTTTAGGCCAGAACTGCAGGACCTGCTCGACACAGGGTAACACAACTATTCTAAAGTATAATTACATTGAACAACAAAATTTTCCACAAATATTGTGTCAGATAAATCTAATAGCATTTTTGATGCTAAATTTAAACGTGTTTTTTATTTTTTTAATCAAATTTTTTATAGATTAATTTCTTAAATATATATAAACGCCATCTTGATAAATCTATATAAATATATACGCTGTTATGACGAAATATCACAGTTTTTACACAAAAAGTAAGGATTGAAGAGAAATGGCTGATTACAATTTTAAATTCATTGTCAGCGTAAAATATATATAAAAAGCATTAAAAATATCAGATGTTACAAAAATTATGTTGTACAGCGTTGCTAAAGTGCGGAAATTTTTGTGATTTTACGATGAGCTTTTCCGCTCAATGGTTCTCATGTGACTCCAACTTTTTCAGGTAGCATGCGTTGAGGCAATCTAAGTGTAACTATTTTTGCGTTGCTTAAATTATGAATAAGATCTTTATTAATTTATTTTTATGTTGTCAAAAAAACAAAGCATGTTGAATCAGTCAATTTAATTGTTTCACCGTGAAATCTCACGATTTTCCAGACTCTAATAGTTATTATCGTCGATTTTTCTCGAAATGTGTAATCACAAATTATGCGGCACGCATCGTTAAATCACTAGTCAGTGAGATTTAGTTATTTTAATTTTTGTCATTAATTCGTGATTAATTTTCATAATATTTCCGGTTTATGAGCTTGTAATTAAGCATTTAACATCATCATATTGTTGATTTTTATGAAATCTTGAAGTTTTCTATTTATTTGATATAAGGCAGAGCGCCTCATGATTTTAATTGATTGACAAGTTAATCATATATGATTAATAGAAACTCAATAAAAATTTGATGGAAAATTCTCTGACAAGTTTAAAGCCAAATTGTTTCACTTTAAAAAATATTAAAGACATTTTGTTTGCCACAAAATAAAAAAAATGTTTTAATTGCATTGATTTAGAAATATTTCACTTACATTTAGATTAATTTTGCCCTTACGAAAGTTGGACGATCAGAAAAGGAGTGTTCTTTTCGCGCGTGTCGGTCGGCAAAATCCATCCACACAGAAATTCACAGATCTATGTAAGGTATGATTAATAGCGTAATGTGATTTGACTAATTTATAACGTATTTTATTAGAATAATTTAAAGTAATATCTTTTTTCATTTTTCAATGAATAATCTTTTTTTAGGTCGGTCACCTGGTAATGGAAGTGTTAACGAGGAATCATGTTGAAGCATCCATATACGGTTGCGTCGTATATGCAGATTTCGATCTTGTGCATATGGGTCACGTTACTCAAATGCGTCCTTATATCCTGAGGAATGCGATCCACTCATTGCAAGATTGCTTTCCGCTGCAAATCCAGTCACTCAATTTTATCAACACACCGGAGTGTGTTAATGTAGTTCTGAAGTTTTTGAAATATTGCATGAACGAGAGTTTGAAGCAGAGGGTACAGATTTATACGAAAAAAATGATGCATAATTGTTTCAATGATATCCCGGCTGATATCTTGCCGGTCGAATATGGCGGTACTGATGGTACAATCGTAGAATTAAAAGGTAATTATATTAAGCAAAACGGAAAGAAAAAGAAAGAAAAAAGAAAGCAAATTCATATATTTTGTATTATCCAATAATTATAACAAAAAATTAATTCTTGACTTCTTATTTATGAAATTGCGATAATTGGGAGTATTTAACTGAATGTTTTTTGAGATTCGTAAATTTGATTTGTATGTATTTGCATTCAAGCTTGAACATTTGTAACTTTATTTGCATAGTGTAATTTTTCACGCTTGCAGAATATTGGAAGAAAGTGCTCGAAGAGAATCGCGACTGGATTATTGATGATGAAAAGTACAAGCTAGTGTCAAAAAAAAAGTAGCCCGAGATGTGTCCGAATTAATCTCACGTACACAGAGTAATAATTGCCGACTACTTAAAATTGATAAAACGGTGTTGATAATAAATAACGTGATATTATTTAAATAAGGGATAAATTGATAATAAGGTGATAAGGTAACAAAAAAAAAAAACGACAATCTAATATATCGATGTATATCGATGCGGTACATAGAATATGTGATTAAGATTTTCATAAAAAGAAAATATATTTACTTGCGTGTATGTTTATGAAGTTTTTTGTTTCACTTTTATGTAAGTAATATAAAATATACATTTTTACGTTGCCAGGCTTTTTTTTTGCACTTCGCAATTTCTTTGATTTTTGAGGAATTTTTTTCTTCTTTTTTATTGATAAACGTTTGGTATGCAGTTTCTCTTTGACAAACAAGATCTGCGCGTAATAATTGCATTTTGCAGACGATCACTGTATTATAATTTATTAGTACGTAAAATATATTTGGTGTTGCCAGAATTCTTTATTTCTTACAACTGTTTGTGATCGTACGAATTATATATACTTATCTATCTTAATTTCTCCATTATTATATATACATATATATGTATATATTTATCCAGCGAGAAACAAGTCATGGAATTAATGTCGAACCGACATTAATGCGATGTAATATCGATGATTTCGACGTCAGACATCGATTTGATGTCGATTGATAGGTCATTTCTCGTTGGATAATTTCTATATCTATTTTTGTTATCACCGCGCAGTCTTTGTAAGTGGACTTTGTAAGTTGCTATAAGTTCATGAACGCGATAAACACATGATATAATTTTTTTAACGTACTTTTATTTCTTATATAACGTCGGAATTTGTTCAGAATGATAAGCCATAGATATAACAAATTGTCGCTGTCAATCGACATTTGCATTTTTTATTTCTGAGGGAGATAAATACTGTAAAATGTACGTACATAGATCATGGGCAAGTAACATTGCGCTACGATTAACTAGCTATTTTTCGTTAACTTATAAACTATCAACTACGATTCTATGCTAGTCCGAAACGATTTTACCAGATTTCAAATTTCCAAATTGTTTTATAGAAACATTATATCAGACGATTAGAATTGTCCATGAGAATTGCACGCAGTCTGGCGACGAAACTCACTGGCGCACACGACAAAATGTACAATTGTATGATTCTATTTCCTATATCTCGGATGTAAACAGATGAGAGATTATGCGAGACAAAGAAGAATAGAATATTCTGTTCCTGGTGTAATAAGAATACAGGCACAGAATATACATTATTTGTACGTGTTTTTACTGAATTAAGATAATCATTCTCTATACGGCCTATTTAAGGAGGAAGAGTTCAAAGTTTTTATACTAAAAAAAATATATATATATTTTATAATAAAAAAATGATACTGAAATGGTAACCAGTTAATCATGTATATAAAAATAAAAATTTTAAATAACTTAAATGATCCTAGTATAATATGTGTAAGAACACAGAGTGTGATAATTTTTCAGATTTTGGACCAGATTTTTGATATTAATTTTTTGTAAAGGAAAAGTTGAAAAGTATGCAGGTAAATTAATGAAACTAAATTAAATCAGCAAACGTATTTATTGATATTGCAATATTTAACGATCACATATTGAGCAAGTAACAGAGTTCTCGTCTTTTCTTTGTTGTAATTCGAGATTTCTGCGTTAGAGCGATTGACTCTAAAATACTTTTAAGGACACAACTGATCTTTTTCTTTCTCCGATTTAGAAATTATTTCTAAATTGGAAACAATAGGCAAAAAATAACAAAAAGTAATAAGTGTTCTATACTAATCGGACTACATTGGGCTTCTTTATAAAAAAAACAAGGATTTTTCCTAAAAATTGGGCATAAATTATTAAATATGCAATATTAAAATATATTTATACAATTTAAGAATAGACTATATATACCGTTTAATAGGCACAATATCAAATTTAGTTACAAACTTCAGTTACTAATTATTATCAAAGAGCATGAAAAAGTCAATAAGATAAAATATAATAACGCTTAAATCAAAATGAGACACGTTCGGAACGTATCATTTTTTTAGTAGAAAGAAATTCAGAACTATTGCAAAACTAAATAACAATGTACATTTTAGTGAGAAGTTTTTAGATCAAGTGGTATTATCATCTTTTGAACTATCTATCTACCGAAAAATATTAGGTTACATTAAATTCTATCCATATATATTGAACCATATACAATCACCTTTTTTAATTGATTTTACGAAGAAAAATGTACAAATTGCAGTATAGACAGATTTTTTCAAAACATCAAGCACATCAAGCTATTTTCCTTTGCAATATTTTTTTTATAACACGTTCGAATTTTGCAGAACACCTTTAGCATATATTTTTACAGACCGTATTTAACAATACGTTTAAAAGATATCGGTGTATTAAAAAAAATAGGTTTATTTCTTATTATACCCTCGAACCAACAGAATTGCTAAAAAGCTCATCCTTTCTATTCTATTTTTCTCGATCATAACTCTCGAGAAGAGGTCGGTTCTCACGGTACGGTGAGAATCCTGGCGGTATCCTCGCGCAACCGCGCTACTTTTTTTCAGATAAAAATAGAGTTCCTATAAACAAGCACATTCGCACGCAACAGTATCGCGCGTTATACATCCCTTCGAATTCTCTCGTCACACACGCACGAACACGTACACACGCACAGATAGCACAGATAGACACACACAAACATGCAACATGTAAGCTTTAGAAGCACATTAAGTGCGGACAAGAGCATCACATGGATCAGAGATCCATTCGATGCGGAGAGTGCTAACGAGATCGTATCGGCAACACGTCGACACCTGGAATCGAAGCCAAGATAATGGCGGTAATTGGAAAGACCTTTCCTTAGTTGAACAACTTTCTTCGACGATAGAAGAATCCTTCTTCAATAGCAGAGCTTCTTTATAGGCAGTGCGGTTCGAGGAAAAAGTCCAAAAGTTTCCCAATCTTGGCAGTCGATATTTCAATTGCATCTACAGTCTTCATTCAGTTCCGGTTCCCGCTTCCTTAATTTTACAGCATCGCCTATAATAAACATAAGAGAAGAAGACCGTCTTCGAAAAATCACTTCGATTCCCGGTGGAAACGTCGGGGGTCTCGCTGACGTCGCGTCAAAGATCCTGAACGCGAGGAACCAGTCCTGATCGTCTCGTCCATCGGTCAGACGCGTGTTTGCCGCCGCACGACTCGTTTCTCTTTTTCGGGAACACACTTCCTTTCTAATTCAGCACTCCGCCATCTATTCTTCGCGCAATGTTCGCAAGGCACTGTACACCGGATACAGTCTGGACGCGAGAACGAGAGTTCATTCTTATCCGCGCTTGAACTTCAGCACCAGCAGACTTATCGTGAGGAACACGATGATCCAGATGATGGTGGAGATGTAGCCGTTGTAGACGTCCGGCTCCGTGATGCTCCAGCCGCGGGTCAGCATGGAGCGCAGGGCGGTCGTTGCCATTGTCAGCGGCAGACCCTGCGATATGTATCGCAGGAACGTCGGCATGCCCTCCACCGGCCATATTACACCTGCGAAATTGTCGTTGTCGTATCTTGTCGAGATTAACTCAATACTAGAATTTTTATTTGCTTAATTTTTATCAAATTTTTCTCTATTTTATTTAAAGTTTTCTTATTTTTGCCTTACTTTATTTTCAAGCAAACTGTTAGATTTTATATTTTAACTAAATGTTATTGTTATTATTTTCTTATTTCTGGAAAAAAATCTCTGAGAATTATATTATTTAGAGCATTGAATTTGTATTTTGGATGAGACAGTTTCGAAGCATTTCGTATAGCGAGTCGATTGGAACACAGCATATATAGTCAGCTTTCACTTTCAGTCACGGCAAAGACTTCAACATGTGACATTTAGATCAAAATGACCAGTTGACGTGACGATACAGTAAATCTGTCTGCGCGATAATCGCGAATATTTACGCACAATATCGAAGCGATATTATATCAAGCGAGTTATCAGTTTATCGATACAGAATTAATCGACACAGAAAATTATATAAAGATTTGTTTGTTTTCCAAACATGCTTTACACAAATAAAATAAAAAAATTTAAATCTTATTGCAAATAGAAAAAAAGGATTCTAAGCAATCTTATATACATATATAGTTATTTTAACAGATATTCTTTATACATACCGCTGAGAAGAAGCGTGGGATAAAAGCTGCCCAGAGCAAGTTGAATGGCATTCCTTTCTAGTTCGCAAATCGCTGAAATCACGAACCCTGCAAAAAAAAAGAAAAGTCCAGATGACAAGGCGATTCTTTTTTCTCTCTGTCGCTAGAATTTATTTGTCAATTTTATTTCAGTTTCTATTTATTTATTTTTATTTATCAAAAGAGGAATGTAACACTGACAGTAAAATATAAAGACAAAACGGCAATCTAAATATCTTAAATGGTCATCAATTCATCGTATTATTTGAACAGATAAAAGTCACAGTACAAAATCGTCTTACCAAAGCACATGCCGCAGAGTCCCTGAAGTATCGTTAGAATGATAACCCAACCGATATCGCCCTTGCATTCGACGCCGAACACCAAGATCATAAAGATCAACACCAGAGCCGTCTGACCGCACATCACCACAAATTGTGTAACCACGTGAGAGAACAAAATCTCGCCGGGTGACACACCGGCCACCCAACTGCGGTCCAGCAAACCCTCCATTCTCTCGATAATTAACGCGGATGACGTCAGCGCGACGGCCAAGAAGAAGACGATGCTGTGGATAAAGATTAACATTAAAAACAACAAAGATGCATCTTCGCGGAGAGCATTTTCTTGAAGTCATTCGCGCGAAAGTATTGAATTATCAAAAGATAATTTTAATTAATTAGAACATTTAGAAAATAGAAACGGAAATTTATATTAATTAATTTATCAATTAAATTAAAGTTTATATTAATAAATTATGTGAATATTAATTATCTTACGTCAAAATTACACCGGGCGCTACGAAGTCGGTGAAACTGGGTTCGTTGGTGCCGTAAATCGGGTCCTTAAATTGAATCGGCACGTCGGCCAGTTTCGCATTCTGCTCGCAAGACGACAGGAGGTCCTTGGCGAAATCTCTGTACGAATATTGAAGGTTTCTCGCCAGCATCAGGCCTACTTGTTGATCTGCAATGGTAAAAATAGCATCGATTCAAAACAAACGGCGCGAGACGCAGCCATTAGCACGTCTATACGGAGAGGTGATGCAAATAGCGTCGTTCAGTAGTAAATACTTCGCCAGGCGTACGGAAAGGAAAACAAAATAAACTTTGATCCCCTCAAGTTTAATCATCGCGTCATGAATAGAAAAAGATACATGCGCATATTTTGAATAATACGGTTTTTAAAAACGGCAACTGATAAATGATACATTGATATGCAAATGTGATATTTCGACGGAAGCGATTAATAAATGCCAAGCGGAAGATTTGACACGTGTCAAGTAAGAAATAAATAATGGTAAATGAGTAAAATTTGTGAGATGACAAAAAGTTATAATATGTATGTAATATAATATAAAATATAATATAAAATATAATATATTTCAAATTAACGCTTGAATCGAACGAATGCTTACTCGACATGTCCAGCCAAACTCTGATCTCGCTTTGATCAAGAGTCTCGTCGTCGGAATCTTTTCCTAAGGCCATCCGCGCCACGAGAGCGTCCGTGAAGTTTTCCGTAAAGTACAGAGTACCCCAAACTTCCCCTCTGCGTACGGCGTCCATCGCTGATTCTGGATCTCGATAATATATCTGCAATGGAAAACAATATTAAATTAAAGAAAAGAAAAAAAAGAATCATCTTTGTCGCTTGCTAAATCAATTTTCTTCAACTTAGTTTAATTATTCCGAGCATTTTCTTTGCTGCAGTATGTTATATTTTATTATATATTATGTAATAATTGAGATACTCACTTTTACCATTGTTTCATTATCCAAGAAATTGAGATACCGACAACTGAGATGCGTGAAAGAGCAGTCATCCGAAACGGGGCAACTCATATTTTCGTAGAACATCTCATGATTAACTATGGCTAGTTTCAGTCCTGTGGGATCTCTTCCGATCGCCAGACAGAAGAGAATCACTTGCATTACCGGCAGAGCGAAGATGAACAGCATCACGCTGCGAGGAAATAAATTACAATTACGATGTAATTATATTGTGAACATTTGTAATTATATTGTGAATCGCTTGTTCGTTATTTCCGTAAAGTATCGTTTTAATTATTTCTCTAAAAAATTATTGTAGTTCAATATTTAAATAACATATTTTTATAGCGTTATAAAAGAAAATAAATGATAAAATTAAAAGGTAGAGGGCTTGATTATATCAAGCATTAATATTGATTACAAAGTTTATTATATTATAATACATTGTTGAGCGAATAATTGTGCGGTCAGCAACATACCCAACATTTCTCCACATGCGCAGGAAATTTTTCTGCAAAAGCGCTTTGATCTTGCCCCAACTGGTGATTTTATAACAGTCCGTGAAGCTGCCGCAATCGTCGCACTCCAGAACGGTTCCCTTTGCGCTCGGCACCGCTTTGCCATGCATCTGATTTACAATACATTTATATCAGAATTATGCCGAAAATAATAATCTAAAATTTACTTTTGAAAGTCTATGCATTTTTATACATATTTATGATTTTTTATAAAAAAAGTCGTTAATATTTTGAGTCGTTAACATAATCCAATAATATATCTTTTTTCAATTTAATGTATTTAATATTCACTGTAATGAGAAAAGAAACTAATATTCTTTGACATATATAATATTTAGAATATATGAATAATATTTTTCGATGTATATCATTATCTTACTTTTAAATATTAAAATTAAGTGACACTAATTTTCGAGTATAAAAGCACTTTAAAAATTTAACAACATGAAAACACATCGTGCTGGGCTGACGATGAAAAAAGAAGCATTTGTATGTGCACTGGTGAATTAGAATAAATTTAACTTGTGATGTGCAATAAGACAATCTCTTACGTCATAGTGAGTCGCTATTCCGTTAGTGGAGTCGTGGATCAGGACTTCTTTGCTCTGGTGGAAATTCAGGCCAACAACGCCGGATTCCTCCGTCACATATACTGGTTCTTTTTTGCTCCAATTTAAAGAAGCCTGTGTGCAAGAAAAAAAAAACAAAGCGTGGTCGTAGGAAATAAAACTGCAAATGTGCTGAATTTTAATTTTGATGCAAATCGGACATAATTAACGAATATAGCACACAAATTGCTTAGATCATTGCGGATACATCGCAGGTATACGATATCGGATACGTATTTGTTATAAAATTAATTAAACGCGAAGGTGAAAGATATTTAATAATGTAATACAATATTTGGGCGGGTGCTTAACACTAATATTGATGTACATATATAATGTAATAGCTATCCGATGTAAAGAGTAATATGAGTTCATAATAAGAAATAAAAGTTATTTGAAAAATAAAAATTAAAACTTCTTGAAAAATAAAAAAAAAATAATTGAGAGGTCATTAAATTTAAGAGTATAAATTAACAATGTCGTTGAGATGAATATTTAAATAAGCAGTAGCGACAAAGACAATAATAAATTACACAATTGGCAGAAATAATAAATTCAAATCAAATAAAAATTGCATACAAATTATTGTTTTTTTACACTGTGCAATATAGTGTATTTGTCGATCTTAAAAGTTCGCAAAAATTATTTGAGGTAAAATGTGCAGAACATTGTACAAATATTGTATAAAAATTCAAAAAGTAATTGCATTAATTTTTTCGCTCACCAAGCTAATGTTATTCGAGATATTCAGCTCTGTCGGAGGTTGAGCGTATTGCCCTTGCTTTCTGGATAGCTTGAGGAAGACCTCTTCGAGGGAGGCGCAGCTGTACATTTGTAAAAGAGTCCTGGGTGCTTCCTCGGCCAACAACCTTCCGCTCCTCATCAAACCGATCTGTAATAAAATCATTTCTTTCCTATTCATGTTCTTATAACTTTTGTGACGCAAATAAATTCGTCACTTTGCATTTGTCACTTTAGCTTATAAAGTTAAGTCTCAAGATGTTAGCTAACAAGATGTTAGCTAACAGGATGTTAGCTAAAAATGAGTCTGCAATGCAAATCTGTATAAGAAATGTTTAAAAATATTATTTTATTTTTCTTATATCCATAAATAATTTTAATCCTCGGACTTATTTTTGATAAATCACTGGATGAAAACAACGAATCCTTCTCGAATCGACCGATTACGTAATCGCGAGTTCCAATATAATTATTGCAAAATATAAATCAGTCGTAAAAAATCAAGATCGATTTCCTAGGTGATTACAATGTAATTTGTGTCTAACGTAACATGCAGACAGACAACCAGTGGCATATTAATCGTATGTAATCGTACCACGTCAGTTATTAACGGCATTTGCGATTGATATGGCACGAGTAGAATCGCTCAAAATTGTTATTAATTTATATAAGTATGTAATGTTTCAAATGTTTAGAATACATTATCTAACTTTAATTGTAGTAAATTGCTGATTATCATTTTTTACTTCAAATATGTCAACAAAACTGAGAAATGTTAAGGATGAATTAAGTCTTTGTTAATGAAATCTCATGATAGCTAATTAAAGAGCTTGTAATACTACCGTGTGCGCTTGTCGGGCCTCTTCGATATAGTGCGTTGTTATGATGACGGTCTTGTTACCATCTTTGGTGATTTGAACTAGATGGTTCCATATACTGTAAAGTAAAAATAGAGAAAACAGGTTTTAATTAATTTCCATATTATTATCATGTAATTTTAATTGTGATAAATTTATATAAAAAATTATTCAAAACTTATTCTTTTCAGGAATAAAAGAGAGAACGAACGCGCGCATAATTGCGCACTACTGAGTAAATGTGTCTGCACTATAATTAAATGCATAAAATACTACGCGCAAATATTTTGCTGAGTCACAATGATCAACTTTTGCTATCGTAAATTCCAATCGAAGCATTTCTGATTATTCTGCAATCGGAAATTTACAGAATCATTATTGATGATCAGTACGTGTTTGTGTTTGTGCGAAACTCGATTAATGTAATATTATTATACGCGTTCACACATTAATTTTTCGCCCCACTTTGATTATTCTCTTACAATCGGTCCACCTTGAACTTTGATACCCGGATTAAAAAAGGTCGGCGTCCTTGTGTTTTACATATTCTACATTCAGTAAGTAAAAAAATGTATTATTGGGACGTAAACATAGCGTAGACATACATACGTAGAATCGTGTTGAAAAGATTTCTGCCAGTCGGTTAATTTTGCTAACTACTGCATAACATTGAGATTATTTGTCGATATAAAACTAGACCGTAACAAAGTAAAAGTCGAAAGTCGCCGTGCTCGTTGTAGACACGACGCTCCAATCTATCGTGTCTAGAAATGTATATATCATTAAACAGAGATGTATATTAAAAAATTAATTTTTTTGTACATAAAATATATAAAAATCATTAATTTATGAGTTTTTAAAAAATAATTTAGTTGATAAATTCAAAATTATACTTAATTATGATAATTTAATCTTTTCGTGAAATTTTAATAATTAACGTTATTATATATTAGCATATAACTGTATCGTTTAACCAATGATTGTTTCGAGTAGGAAGATTATTGAACCGTAAAAGATTAGTTATGCTATGCACAATTAATATAATTCAACAGGTACAAGAAAGTCGACAGCAGTCATCGATTCAACAAAGCGAGACGAGTGATTAGCATAAGCTGCAATATATTTTTAAAACGGATCCTTGAAATAAAACTGCATCTAAAACTGACAAGTCATAACTTTCCTAAAAATATTTTTGTGAAAGCGATCGAGTTCATTCATAAATGCTTCACAAGACAATTGTGCGTGTCTGAAATTGAGAAAGTGGAGTCAAAATGTGAGTAATCACAATAAAGTTATAAATTTTTTCGAGCAACAAGACAAATGCTCAAAGCTTCGCTTTATGCTGCTTAAATTGTTATCATTATTTTTTACTTTTTCTTCGGACAAAATTGACCACGGATTCTAATTATGTATCTGGTGCTTACAAATACAGGATTGATGCAGTAACTCCACTTCTAAATGTTTACGCAAGTTCAATTTTGCTCTTTTCCATTCCATTTACGTCATGGCGTATAAATGCGACCGGGAATACCTGGGAAATTTCTATGTCTCAGAGAAACGTCGCACTAGAGCGAGTGAGACATGAGATGATACAACGTAATGACTACAGTAAATGATTTCCTGTTATAAAGACAGAATGTGTTATTGTGGAAAGCATTTGGTTAATTCGCTTCATTTGCTCGCGGACGGAAGTGATGATTTTCCTTCTGCGTGAATAAAATTTGTTTTCGACAAGATAAAAAATATTTTGCAAACAATTGCAGTAGGCTTATGTAGTTATCAATAATATCTAATTGTTTGTTAATAGCTTGCAATTCTGCAAGATTTATTCGTAATGACTTATTCATTAATTTTGTGACGGTGCTTTATTCTTTGAAAAAATAATATTTTTTACTTATCATGCATACGTGTATTATTTAAATTTATGCTAAAATGGTTATCGACCGTTGCCTAGCATATTACTTCTTGAAACACTTCATTTTCACATGAAAGCATTCGTATTCATTTTCAAAACGCTTCAATGCAATGTTTTAATTGGGGTTGAATGATTTTCTGTCAAAAGCCAGACATTATACGCAAGAAGTGATTGATTATTATTTCAGAAGTCAAAGTCCAATGTCTAAGTACTAAGATTTGACGTGACATTTTTTAAGGAATAAGCATAAAATCTTACAAACAAGTATTGATAAAATCTGAAAAACAAGCGTTAGTAAAATCATAAAAAAGCAAAATTTTTTAAATTATTTTAGTCAAATTTGTCATGAATAATTAATAAGTAATAAGCAAATTTTTGTTATTTAATATGGATGACTTAACATCGGATAAAAAGAGAAAAGGACGGCTGGAAAAGTGTGAACGGCGCGCTTTGATAAATTTGACCTGGTTCATTTTTTGTTACTCTTTTTTGCCATTTAGATTCGTTTGACTAATACTTTCACTTAAAGGGAAGCTTAAAAGCGTGACTTGCGATTTGGTGCATTGGTCACGAATCGCTGGCACGATTTATTTTGTTGTTTAGATTTTCAGCGAAAGTATGAACGAAGATTCTCACCATCCTTCAATTCTCTTTTCTTCTTTATTTCGGTTTTTACTTGAGAATCATTGTGTAGTAAAAAATCTCATGGATTTTTTATCAAAAATTATGACTTAAATAGATAATTTTTGGATAATTAAATTAATTAAAATATTTATTATAATACTATTAATTTGTAGAACAAGGTTTAAAAATAAATTTAAATTCATTATACGGGAATTAGGCATTCACGTACGACGTGAATAATTTACGGTTAACCTGGATATTTTATTTACTGCTGCTAATAATACTGAATTGATCGTACACGTGTAACTGTTGTTACATCGTTAGTGGCATACATATTCCGCTAATGAACAGCAAATTGAAGGTTTATTTAGGATGGGTCACGGTCTGTCACGTTATTTAATTATTCTAATCGAGAATGCAAAATTGATCATTGCTGCTCATAAATAGTAGTTCATAAATAGCTCGATCAATATCTTTTAATTACTAACATCAAACTCATTAACCATATAATTAGCTACAGCGCATTTGCTTTTCACGCAGTTTATTAAACAAAAAAAATTACATACCTTTGTCTTAATAGCGGATCTACGCCTACGGTCGGCTCATCCAGGATCAATAGTTCAGGATCGTGCATGAGAGCCACTGCGAAGGATACTCGCCTCTGTTGACCCCCGCTAATATAAAAAAGTATGTTTAATGGATAAAATAAATAAAATGTGCATTTTTTAAAACAGTAACAATAAATGTTGATTTTAAAAAAATGTAAAAAGAATTTTAACTCTTTCGATATAAAATCATACAACTCATTGTCAGCAAATTAATTTTACAGGATAAAATTTTCAATCGTAAAATAAATGAAGCTTTTATTCTAAAGAATATGCATATGATAGAGAAAAACAGGAATATAAGTTCTTCTCTTTTCTTCTTTAGCTTCAGACTATATCATTGTTATTACGAGCAGGTACAATGCGATCGCGGCGCGAAAAATGCATACCTGAGATTCTTCACTAAGCGATTCTGCGAAGGCAGATCAAGAAACTGTAACAAGAAACGCAGCCTCTCGACGATCTCGGCGGTGCACATTCCGAATATCCAGCCGAAGTACATCATGGTCTCGCGAATGGTGAATTCGCCGTATAGTGCGATCTCCTGCGGCATGTAGCCAACCCTTTCCCGGGCACGCCGGAGCCCTTTGTCCCGGGTTTGCCGCCCAGCACCCAGATCTCGCCCGAATTTAATCTTCTCCGGCCGACTATGCAAGATAGCAGAGTGGTCTTGCCGCATCCGCTGGCGCCCAGCAGTCCGTATCTAATGCGAATAATTTGCAACGATTTTTATTCATTCGGTGTTTATTGTCCGTTACATTGAGAGAAGCAAAACGCAGTGAAAAATAAAAGGTGTTTTGTAAAATATATCTTAATTGATAAAAGAAATACGTGCAAATTCCATACGTTCTGTATAGAAAGCTAATTGTTAGAAAAAAAAAAAAAAACAAATATTGCCGATGAAAAATGTCCATACATTCTACAGATTTTAGCCTTCGAGATTATTTTTAAATGTGAATAGACAAATCAACAGTCTTAGTCGAGCGTCATTTGCATTTGCAATTTTCATCAAGACGCTAACAAAAGCATAGTTAGCGAACTTGAAAAGTTCAGTCCTTGAAGTTCAGGTAAATATGATTTCTCGGGGATTATTCATAACTTCGAACTTAGAAGCTTTGCCGGAAGTCGAGAGACAGAATTGTTTGCATGACTGATAAGTGCTCACGAGAGAGTCGAAGCGAGGCAGAATGAATGCCGTTTCAAGACAGACTTGTGACTTGTAAAGAATTCGTTGAAGCAGGCACAACGAACGAATAATCAGATTTAAATTGCAACGGTGGAGTCAGCTGAAGGCTGAACGCGAAGTGTACGTGATGTAACTCGCGACAAAGTAAATGGAAATTGAGAACATGGTCTGGGACGTTGCCTTCATACCGAAGTGAATCACTAAGAATCGTCATCGATTTATTCATTATGCCTTTTCATATGAAGAACACTTCTCCACGTCATCGGTATTCCCTTCGCTCCCGACAGAATCGGAACGCGTCTTCCAAATATAGATTTTAATTCTTACTAAAAAAAGTATGACAGCAGCTATTTAATTCTAATTAAGAAAAAAAATTTTACTTATTTGTTAATAATGCCGAAAGAAAACGAGATAAGAAGTAAAAGCAAATTACATAATTAAATTTGAAATTACTCTTAACTTTGGAAGATCATCATAAGGATGTTACAACAAGCTTTACTTGAAAATTATGTAAGATTAGAGAATTTGAATCATGCAATTAATTAGTCACTTATGCACAATGTACAATATACGTAATCAGTTGATTACGAGGAAAGGATTAAAGGAAAGTTCGGAAGCAATTAAGAAACAATAAGTTTTCTCGATGTTATTGTGCTTGATAAGTATTGAATCTATGATCAATAGAGATAGAATATTAATCACCAATTACCGCAAATAAGCTTTTTAATTAAAGTCTTATATAAATGTTTTTAGATAGCAGTATTTTTATACCAATTTTCATTGCGGATTATATCTAAGAGCCAAGGTAATTAAACAAAAAAATATGCATCAATATCAATAAAAGAAATCAAATTAAAGCCTTGTCAAATATCAACAAGATGCGACAGAGTTGCTAAAAGTTAAAATACGAATTCCAATAAGAGATTTATAAAATAAATCTTCACGAATAAATAATCTATCAAAATATTCAGAATATTGCTGATTTTTTCCGAAAAAAAGTGATGAGTGAAGCATATTTTTAGTGAAATATTTTGAATAAATTAACTAAAGCTATTCTTCATTTGTGCGGTAATCAATTAAGATAGTGTAAAAATTATAAAGACTCCGATAATTAACAATCAAAATAAAAGATAAGAGAGGCAAAAAAAGCTACTGCTAGTTATTCGTGCGTAGCCTTGTATTAAGATAAAATCTATAAACATTTCAGCCTGTCATCAGGTCTATTTCAGTGTCAACAATAACGCACGCAAATTTTCAAAATAACATATAACGCTGCAAAATAATAAATAAATAAATACTACTTGATAACACATTTACATAATGGGCTGCACAAAACTGATGATAAAATTTAGAGGATTAGTCAGACATTTCGCAATAATAAAACCAGTGTGTTCAGAAAGAATCAGTGAATAAAATAGAAGTCAGAAGTATAAAATCAGATGTGTCCATGTTTAAAATTAAATTATAATAACAACGTTCTTGTAGTAGCTAAATGATGGGTTTATTGTCCGATTTTATCTTTTATTTAAATTAGTGTTTTACATATTTTGTATTACTATATTATCATTTTTATGTGCATGTTCTCCAAGATATATAATTTTAAATTCTATGAATATTTTCGTAGACTAAAAATAAATCAATCGATCGTACACTTGAATGCATAATAATACTAAACTATTATTCAGATTTCGCGACGGTTAGCACGATAGACACAATATAATTGCATATCTCGATCTTATAACGATTACGAAACAAATTGTAATAATGACGGAAATTACCGTTTGAACTTCCTGGTGGTTATATAGAATATATTGTTGTTATACGTTATGAAATAACGATCGCCGTGGCCTCTTATCATAAATTGCGATCTCGAAATACTGCTGGCGGATGAAATCGTGTTAATTAATGCGTACCGCATTGTGAGGATTAATCGTCGTTCCAGTAAACGACTCGTTAAGTTAGAAAACGAGTTTCTTATATCGCTTTCTCGAGACAGTATCAGTAGAAAGCCATAAATGCTCAATTTTTCTTGATTTCGATGACGATTACGAGAGAAAAGGCACCGAAGTCAGGAAGTTAAGCAATCTTAGCAGTGGTATACGTAAATTTATAGCGTGCTACATCAAATACGTGCATAATATAGCTGAATGAATTCTCAAATTGCTCAATTATTATTATGAATATATTATAAAACATTGCCCAAGTGTGTTTGTAATGCGTTATTGTAACAATATTTTAGATTTAGACTAATAAAGTAAAATTTTTTTAAATAAAAATACACTGCGATGTTCAAAATCAGTATGGTTTACATCATCGAAATATAATGATTTTTATACATTATTAATGTTATCATAATTTTATTTTTAATTGGCAAAAATATTTATATATAATTGATACTCTCTCTGCATGATATTCTAAATATTTTTAATTTAATGTTTCCCGTTATTTAGCTTCTCTCACACAAAGTTGATCAAATTTGTTTGTATTTTCTTTTTCATACACGAAATCCAATATTTTATCGCAGAATCTGAATTAATTAAAATAATGAATATACTTACATCGAGCCCTTGGCTACCGTCATACTGAGATTCTGTATGACATGGTTTGGATTCTTGCTGCTGCCGTAGATTTTGAAAGCATGCCTGACGCTGACCGCTTGCTGACGATTCCAGGTGGGATTGTTCAGGCCCGGTGTCGCCAGGACGGTGCTCGGCGTCACCGTCAGGTCTACGTTACTGTCTGCGTTACCCTGCATCGTCGTGACGTTCGTGAGATCTTCGGCACCCGCGCTTCCGTCGCTGCAATATAAGAATGAGCATTACGGTAATGCGAAATTACGTCGCGGAGGATGTTACAAATCACATGCGATATCTTGTGCAATTTTGTACGATGCGATGGTCGGCAAAGATCTCTATGTGCAATCGCTTGTAAAGCACTTGTAAGATACTCGTGTATCGTTGCAAGTTATAATGCAAACACCAATTTGCAATATCGAAGTAGCTAATTGTATTATAGTTGCAATAATCGATTATGAATTGGTTTTGTTCCTTAAATAAAATTCTTAATTATTTTATTATAAATTTCTGAGTTTGTGAAGTATAAATTTTTGAAGTAAGTCTCTAAAATGTAAAATTGTTTTCTAAAATTTTATTAAAATGAAGAAAATTGCAGTACATCGGCACATTGCCTCGGTACGGAGACCCTAAAAAGCGCGCAATTGCGCGTCTGCGGAATTACCGCATATTGCACTTGACAAAAACGATTCTGTAAGTCTCTGGTGCAGATTGCGCGGCGTTGTGTGCGTATAGAAAGAACGAGTTGTGCAACACACAGGCGTGTGGCTTTCTTTTTGCTGACGCGCGCGTGGCAATTCATTGGGCAATACGTCGACGCTCGCTCATGTGTGTCATTAGTGTGTAATACAAGTAAACATGTGAACATGTGTACACGTCTGCACAGATGCACAGATGCATTAGATGCAGAATACATAATGCTCACAGACATTGAGTTCAGCGGTTGCAATGTGGCATGCGCGCGTAAGTCGAGCGAGCGTAAATTCTTCCACTTCTATTTCGCTCGTAATTTCGGTGATCTACTTCGCGATTTCCCTTTCTCCAGCTAAGCTTTCGCGAGAATATGAACATTACGTCTTCCGATTTTCATAGCTAAATCGCGATAGAACGCAAGTCTCATGTACATTGGAGCAAGTGTATCTCTAGAGATACAAAAATTTAATCTGCATCTCCGTCTACTAAAAAATTATTACAACTAAAAGATTATAGTAATATATTATAAAATTATATTTGTTGTATGTGTAAATTAATTATAAAATTTTGAAATTTATTGTTCTTCTTAAATGGATGATTAATAAATGATTATTTTCTAGGAACAAGCTAATTCATAATTTTAATTACTTGTGATTCATTCCTTTCTATTGTATGTATTTGTGATTCAATTCGCTCCAAATTGATTATAATTGTCATTGATAAAATATGCGGACTCCCATATTCGTTTATTAATTATGTTTGTCTAGGAAAATGTTTTCTTGTTGTTGAGACGTCGACAGGATTTTATTCTTTTTTAATAGACACGATTATCTATCAAAACTGGATATAGTATTAGTGCAATTTTGCTATCGTTACTTATTGCGCAATCTTAAATGGTTGAATTAATTCAAGCAATCGATTATCGAGTAATCATCTATATAATGAATATATATCGTTATCTCTAGATTAATCAAAGAAACTTTCGAACATATCTCAGATAAAAAAGATCAAGAGACAGAAATGCATAACTAATGCGATATGCAAGCCAACGAATTCTAAATCACTGATTAAAATATAATTATTATCATTTCTAGTTTATAGATAATTATATATTTATTATAATATATAGAAAACAACAAAATCTTATTACAGAAAAAACAAAAACAATTGATTACGTGATTTACAGACACGTATAATATATTGTGGCCTTAAGAAATTCCTCGTTGCAAAACCCCCTTTTTCTGAGTTTTCACACATGCTTTTATTGAGTTATAAACCACGCATTATTCACGTGAAGGGGAATGATTTAGCAATAATGCAACATGTGTAATCATTCTGAGTTATAGCCGTTGGCATGTGTGTTACCTCGAACTGTGCAAAAACTGTATCGCGAGCCTAGGGAAATCGCGGTAAATGCGTATGCTAATCCGCAATTGCATGCGAGAAATTTCATATTGTCTGCATGTTACATAAAATAACATTATGTCGTAATAAATGATGATGATAAATACTTAATTTTAAATATTCACAATTAATGTCAATTTAAAATGACTGGAAAGAAATATATACATATATTAGAATTTTAAATATTAACAATTAATGTCAATTTAAGATGAATGAAAAGAAATATATATTAGAATTTATTATCAATATTCCGTGCAATTGTGTTGAATGATCAACTTTAATTGTTATTATGAATTTTCAATAATTCTATATCGATTAAATAAAGTATAAGAAATTTCTATTTTATAGATAATTGTTGTGAATAAGTATTAACGAGAGAGAATAATATTCGTAGAACAAAAAGCACTTTTACTTGGTATACTTAATACAATGTATTTAGAAGAAATAAAGTAAATACAATGTTTGATGCACTTTAAGTGCATGTGATAACTTATACGTAGGAAGAACGATAAAATTAAAAGAAGCTGTATGACGCAATCGCTTTCCGCGACTCTACTACTAAAAACAGAACCTTAATGATGCTGATGTCGCGGGAAATTTAACCTTTCATCAATAATTATATATTCATTATATCCGCATTATGTCAAATTATATTAATAATTAATTTATATTGCAAGATCGTATGTTGTGAATAATTTATAGTTGCAATCAAGGAAAGTGATGATTTTTATTATTATTGTCACTAATGCAAATTACTTTTCTTGCAATTCGTTAAGAATAATTAAAGAAATATATCAATCTTAATAAATAAAGTATATGAAAACTAATTAGCCCGAGAACGTGAAACGCAGCGTTCTGACGCCAATGTATACTTGACGTTAATTATGCGTAACAATTTCTAACTTTATCAGGAATCTGTGACTTGTAATGTTAATTGCAGTTTTCTTGACTATGTTTCACATTTTTACATAACTAGGTATTTTTTGTTATAAGTTATTTTAATAATTAGATATGTGTGTATGTGTATGTGTGTGTCGCTAATCTTTTTAAGAACGTTCATAGTAAACGCTCACTTCTAATTCTAGCTTTCGCAAATATTGACCTCATATTATCTTAATATTTGGACAATTATCATATGATGGATTGAAAATGGTCAAAAAATTGACCGAAATGTTTATGTAATAATAAAAAAGATTGTAACAAGCGACAAACACCCGGCTCCGATTCTTAATATAATTGATTTAACACGCGAGCCTATATATTTATACAATTTATACTTTCTAAGAACGCATTTTTATACTTGATATACATATTTCTAAAGAATTAAATTTTTAATAAAAAAGCGGCTGATAAAATAGAAACTATGCGAAAACTATTTTATAGAACCGTTTAATATTAACGTGAAATGATTTAATTAATTTAAATTTTGGATTAAATTTCTGGAAGAGAACAAAAATATGTAAAATTTGAATCAAATGTGCACAGGTAATTTGATGTACACATAAAATTGAAATAAAATTAATATGATTTTATTTATCAATTTAATAACAGCATTTTCTCGCCTGTAATAATATCTTAGAAACACTTCTGTCGCAATTTTTATCGCATGTGAGCGTTGCAGATAAATATATGTAAATTGTTAGCATGACGGTTTTAAATGTAAATGCATAGGCGTAATGCTTTTCCGAGATACGTATTTTATACTTAAGTATTCTGCTAATCTCTTACGATGTGGTTTCGATTGCGGTAAATGGCTTACGATATGTGACGTTCAGAATGCGTACGAAAAAGAAAGGAAAAGATCGGATCAGGCGATTGCATTGCGCAATATGTGCAGTAAAATGTCTGATATTGCAAAAAAGCAACATAATAAAGATGAAAATGCTTCTGGTATATCAATAACTTGGTCGAATGCTTACTATTTTTATAATAGTAAGTAGGTCAGTTTTGATAAAGTATTGCTTTAGAATTCAAGATAGAATTTTATTTATTACGTTATGCAAATTTTTGTGTTGTGTAATATGAGAAACACTTGAAGAATTGAAGACCACTTGAACACTTGAAGAATTAAAATACACACACACGTATATAAGATATATTTAGACACACATATTATAACATGGCGTATCTAATTAGAAACAGAATCCTGAATTAAACTTTCCCGCATCAAACTTTCTTGCACGATTGCGTGCATGCGTGCGTTGGTAAGAAGTGCAGCCGCAGCGGTAAAATGTTACGTTGCGACAGAGCGTGTATTTAAAAAAAAAAAAGAATGTGCCGGCGCACTTTTTGATTCTCGCCAATCCAGTTGTAACAATCAGAACGAAATCTGGGAATCAAAATTTTGGATATTCTCACGGTGCACAAAAATTGATCTGATCGTAATTAACACGACACTAATAATAATAATTAATGCGTGCGTGAAATCCGACCATTCGGAATATTAAAAGGTGATTACATTAAGAGACGGTTGCAACAAATAATTGTGTATAAAAACACCTTTGCTGATCAGCCTGTTCTTGCAATGCAATTTCGGTGACCAGCATGGAGTTCGATGGTATGTCGCCGACTCGAGCCGCATGTCGTATAGCTTTTTTTGACCTAAAATGGTTAGTGCGTCGATACGCCTCTCAGATAAAGAATTTGTTATTAAGTTACATCAGCAATTACTTTTATTTTAATCGAGAAACAATCGAAATATGTCAACTACAATGATTTCAATTTTTTTTTATTTGAGAAACGATCATTAAAAAATCTTTCGTATATAAAAGCGAATTGTCACTTGAATTCATTGCTAAAAATCATGAGCAAAATAAGGATCCTTTACCGATTAGGTCGTTGTGTGAGCTCAATGGCAGGCAATTGTAACATTGTCGGCAATTTGTTGCGTCGTTTGTGTCGCGTAATCGTCTCGCGACTGCGAAGAAAAAAGTATCCATTGCGGTTACAAACCATTATCTTTGTGTAATTAATCTTTGTATTCCTCCGACCTTCGAATTAATAAACATGATAAATAATTAAATTTCTTTGGAATTTATCCAGTTCGTTTAAGTAAAAAAAAAAAAAGAAATAAAATATTTAAAGTATAATAATACTTTTATTATAATAATTTTTTTTAGACCTAGATT